CATTACCCCGCAATGCCCCACACTGCCTCGCATTGCCCCGCAATACCCCTAAGTTGTACACCGGATTACCCCATGTACTTACCCCTCGATATTACGTCTCAAAAAAACATCCTCATTAAAACATCCCAAAACATCCCAGGGATACTTCCCCAGTAGGCAAACAGAGACCTGCTACAGAACAACAAAAACAATACTTATTTGGGAATTCATATCACGTCTCGAAAAAACATCCTGATGCCTGAATTTTTAAAACATCCCGAAACATTCCAGGTCCAGGGATACATCTCAGTAGGCACACAAAGAAATTCCACAGGAGAGCAAAAATAACTTCAATATCCTTCAAAGACCTCTTTGGGAAGTGCATATTACCTACGTCTCAAAAGAACAACTCATTAAAACATCCCAAAACATCCCAGGGATACTTCCTCAGTAGGCAAACAAAGAACTGCCACAGAACAACAAAAACAATACTTTCAATATCCTTTTTTCAAAGACCTCTTTGGGAGTGCATATCACGTCTCAAAAAAACATCCTGATGCCTAAATTTTTAAAACATCCCAAAACATCCTAGGATACCTCTATCAGTAGGCACACAAAGAAATTGCACAGAAGAACAAAAACAATGCTTCATTATCCTTCAAAGACCTCTTTGGGAAGGTGCCTATTACGTCTCAAAAAAACATTCTCATTAAAACATTCCAAAACATCCCAGAAATATGTCCTCATTAGGCAAACAAAGAACTGCCACAGAAGAACAAAAACAATACTTTCAATATCCTTTTTTCAAAGACCTCTTTGGGAGTGCATATCACGTCTCAAAAAGACATCCCGATGCCTACATTTTTAAAACATCCCAAAACATCCTAGGATACCTCTATCAGTAGGCACACAAAGAAATTGCACAGAAGAACAAAAACAATACTTCATTATCCTTCAAAGACCTCTTTGGGAAGTGCCTATTACGTCTCAAAAAAACATCCTGATGCCTACATTTTCAAAACATCCCAAAACATCCTAGGATACCTCTATCAGTAGGCACACAAAGAAATTGCACAGAAGAACAAAAACAATACTTCATTATCCTTCAAAGACCTCTTTGGGAAGTGCCTATTACGTCTCAAAAAAACATCCTCATTAAAACATTCCAAAACATCCCAGAAATACTTCCTCATTAGGCAAACAAAGAACTGCCACAGAAGAACAAAAACAATACTTTCAATATCCTCTGAAGACCTCTTTGGGAGTGCATATGACGTCTCAAAAAAACAGCCTGATGCCTGAATTTTCAAAACATCCCAGGTATACCTCTCAGTAGGCACACAAAGAAATTCCACACGAGAACAAAAACAATACTTCAATATCCTTCACAGACCTTTTTGGGAAGTGCATATTACGTCTCAAAAAAACATCCTCATTAAAACATCCCAGGGATACTTCCTTAGTAGGCAAACAAAGAACTGCCACAGGACAACAAAAACAATACTTTCAAAATCATTTTTCAAAGACCTCTTTGGGAATACATATATCGTCTCAAATGAAACATTCTGATGCCGACATTTTTAAAACATCCTTAAACATCCCAGGCATATAGATCTCAGTAGGCACACAAAAACAATACTTCAATATCCTTCAATAACCTCTTTGGGAAGTGCATATTACGTCTCAAAAAACCTCTCCATGCCAACTTTTTCAAAACATCCCAGGGATGTTTGTGCTCGCTGGATACCAACCGATACCAATTCGAGTAGGCTCAAAACATACCTACTCGACCGAGTACTCGACAGTCGTAAACACCCGACAAATGAATTTGTATCTGCCGATAGCGCGATAGCATAAACTGATAAGCCCTGTGAACAGTTATCGTATTATTCGTGATGAATGAGACCGTGTATTTATTTATCGGAGAAACGGGTTTAACGTGTTGTTGAACAATAACACAGAGCGAAAATTACCACTACATATCATCGAACGGAACACAATGGATGACACACAAACCGCACGAAACAATAAAATTTCATCTCGATAAGAAACCGACGACTGTGCTCTACTTAATTCACAAAGTGCACTTTTGGAAGTTTTGCCAACTGCCATTCGTACACCCAGATAGCACAAAGACATCTTTAAGACATCCTAAAGACATCGTTTTCAGACGTTCACAACGTCTTTAAGACGTCTATGGACGCCTTAGAGACGTCTGAAAGACGTCCTCTATAGGCCGGATGTTAAAAATCACGACGTCTTTAAGATATCTTTATAATGTCTCTTCTGAGTCTTATAAAGGCATAGAAAAGACATGAGAAAGACCTCATTTCTGAATGGATTTCAGGGTTCCTCTGGGGATTAATTAAAGTGGAATTTGAAGGAAAACAATAGTTGATCTTTGTGACATTTATTTGAAAAGTACAACTACCAAGGACAGGTTTGACATTTCCAGAAAAGTTGCTGGTCCACCCTGTTTGTGATAGGAAAATTGAGAATATTCATTATGTTTCATATAACTGGTCTCTTCATTTTTTTCTTAAAACAGGGCATCTCATCTACAGGAATATTGATTGTATTAGTCCCTCTGTTGATTGCTTTTTGTGTCAACCAAGCATATTCATATCTCTGGAAGATCCCACATTCTTCCTGAAAACAATGATATAGAGTTGAGTTTCAGGAGTTTACCAATATCATTATTAGGGAGAGTTCTTCTTACCTGACACACACAGTGGACTGTAAACATAATAAGGCATAATACTTATTATACTTCAATGCAATCATTTGCATCCATTTGACCAGCCAAAACCAGGTGGCCCGCATTTATGAGCTCAGCTTCATTTTGGAGACACTGAATCACTGAAAAAGTGTAGACAGATAGAAATGCACAGGCTAAATGGCCAAATCATAAGAATTCTTGTTCAATAATGATAAAAACTTACAGCTCATCATTATGTTGGTATAGGTTTTAGGTTCAACATTCCAACTAGAGGTAGGTAGGTGTTCTACTGTTAAACATCAGAGATATTATTGTCCTCAATCAAAACAAAATGAACCACTGGAAAACACGGATTCAAAAAATTCACAAATATCAAAGCTGAGATTGATTGAGAACTCAAAACGAAATTAACATAAACACACCTCTCAATAAACACCATCACCAAAACCAAACACTTAAAATGTAAACAATCAAATAGTACTGGCATTCGCCGTTCTGGCTCTGGCGCAACGATCTCTCATTCGCTTGACATGGCGGTATTTTCAAATCATCCCACCCGATTTATAAAATAACTTACTCTGAACAATCTATAACCTCTATGTATTACGGTGAAGTTATAAAAATTATGAAATTGAAAATATTCTATTAGCCTGAATCAATATGATCATACCTATATTTTGTATTAAAAGTTCAACGCATATTATGAGAATACAACCATAACTATATAAGTGTGGAATTCAGGAATTCTGAGAGTGGAGAACGTTCAGATATGACACACTAAAAGTCATTATGATTAATACTTATTATAATATACCAAATATCATTATTGCTCATTTGTATTATTACGATGTCTTTAAGACGTATTCAGGACGTGAGAATCAGATATCTTTAAAACGTCTGAATGATGACATCTTGTAGACGTCTTATTCAGGGAGTAAGACGTACAGACTAAGATAGGATATAATTCAGACATCTTAAAGACGTCTTGTGCTATCTGGGCATACAATGGATTCGGTTGTTGAAACTTCACAAACGATAGGGATTCGGTTCACATGCGCCGATTTCGAATCACGAGGACGTCTTTCTTTCGTGTCCTTCTATTCGTAGTTTCGATTATAAAAAAGAAAAGTTATGATTGTAACGCATGATGACGCAATCTTCCTATTCTGCCGTTAAAACGATGTAGGTAATTTTGAAATTCACGATATACTATTTTTAGATAAAAAAATAAATCAAAATATGTTCATTTCAAAACACACTTCCTGCACCATTTGAAATGGTATCAATTCATTGGTGTGACTGGTGTGACGTATTAGTCCGAACACGCCTATTGTCCTTGAGCTGACCAATCACACTGCAACATTGCAGTATTAGAGAGAGATAGGTATATACAGTTCATTTCTGGCTTCTTGAAATATCGAATTGGATATGCTGATTTCAAAACGCTACAGATTCGATTATCTTCAACTTCAACTTATAATATTGATTGTACATTTAATGTACCTAAATCATGATTTATCGATTGAACAAGGTTTGGATGGATTTCATCCCTCAGTGGTCTTCCCCTGTGTGATTTCATTTGATATGAATTTTGTATTCGGAATGTATGTACAGTCGCATTAAAAAAAAGCGTACAAGTATATTACAGAGAGAAATTAACGTCATCCTATTCTGCATAAAACGGGCTATTGGGAATGATTGCTTACCAAATGATGACAGTAAAGTTGTCCTAGGTTCTCAAAAACACAAAGCATTGGCTGAGCCAGTTTTACACAACTAGAACTAGGATTCCGAAATCCTCTCTTTTTAATACTTGTACGCTTTTTTATTGAATACGACTGTACTAAAAGGTTTCAGTTTCTTGTTTTTATTCGACTAACGAGTAACAATTAATGATATGAGAAGAAATTCACTGCTTCAACTATTCAAACAAGTTATATTGGTTCCAAGTGAAGTTGGTACTTTGGTACCTGATTGATGTGTGTTATTACATCCTTATTTTTCCCACCTTTTTGATACCTAACTGACAAACCTAACTATGAATTTGAAGGCATTTGCCCTTGAAAAAAAATTCGTCTGCGGCGCTTTCTCACTTTCTGGCACCCCTGCGCCACGAAATACCCCCCCCCCCCATGGAACAAAGCTGTATACGCGCCTGGGGGGGGGGGAATTTATGGTGGATCACCCTGTACAAAATCCACATTGGTGAACTGCCGCTCGTACAAACTAATCATTCCGTTCGTTGTTCCAGACTCGGCGAATCCGAAGGTTCGTACTGTACCCTAGCAACTTTCTCTGCGAGCGACTCATCGTCGGAGGAGAGCGGCGCCTCGACGTCGCCGCCGACGACGCCGCCGCCAGCGATGCCGTACCAGGAGAGGGCGAGACGGTCGGCGCAGGCGCACAGGACGGGCGCGCACGCGCACCACCTGCAGCACCAGAGGCACCAGCTGGGCGAGTTTGGCGGCAAGCATCAGCGGCCGATGGGGGTGGCAGCTGCTGCAGCTGCGTCGTTGCGGGTCAAGCCGTCGCAGAGGGAGGTCAGTATCATTGGAACACACATGGATACCATAACCATAGTTCGATAGTGTCGGCCGTGGGCCCACCATGTACTCACGGCGTCGGGGTGGGGGTAGCCTCAGGTGATTCCAGACACCACTGGTTAAAAGCATGAGGTCCCCACTCTTGTCATGGTAGCGGAACGTGTAAAAGACCGGGAACGGACACACATCAAACGAGACTGGAGGATTCTGGTCGTCATAATTATAATAATAATATTAGGCTAAGAAGCTCAGGACTCAGTTACTGAGCTAGAACCCGCTCGGAGAAAAGCCCGCATCAAAGCTGCAGAAGTGAAAAGCTCCTGCAGCTTCACATGGATAAGCCCATGCATTCGGTCTACTTCAAGACCATTGAAGACCGGGGCTTATCCAAAGAACTGACTTTCGCTTTTCTTTAGTCAGGCGGGCTCAAATCGGAAACAGAGGGGTTCATCATGGCATGCCAGGATGGGGGATGCGAGTGCTCTATTATCACTTGAGGCACTCGTACGGAATAGACGAGACCCCAGTGCTGCCCTATGATCTGGGGGATATTGAGTCTGTTGTGAAGAATGAGAGGTGCCGAATTTATTGGAACTTCTCATCCCCCACCCTCAGGCAAATACAAGCTAACAAGCCTGATGTAGTCCTCCTCGACCATCAAACCAAAGCGATGTTCGTGATCGAGTTTTCGGCGCCAGCCGAACCGAACATCGTTTTGAAGGAGGAGGAGAAACGGACTAAATATCGAAATCTTCTCTTCGAACTCCGCCGGCTCTATCCAGACCATTCTGTGGAATTGGTCATCCTGATAATCGGCTCCCTAGGAGGCACACGACACACGCTACTCTCGGAGATCCAGAAAATCCCAGCGTGCCGTGATAAGGCACACATCCTGGCTGGTGGTATGCAGAAGGCCGTCATACTAGGATCATTGCGTCTACTCAGGGCACACGGTACTTGGCCCCAGTGATTACTCACCTCACAGGCTGTGAGGAGTAGTCACTGGATTTTATCCAGCACGACTCTGCGTGACGTCGGAGGCCGCAGGGTCGTGACTGGAATTACATGAACTAAAATAATAATAATAATAATAATAATAATAATGATGTTTATTGAAGTAATACCCAATATGTATAACAAATTCATCGCGAAATAATATATTATGGTCTTACTACTCCAAAAGGACAGAATATTGGCAAAGCCATTTTTCAATTCTGCCTGAATAATTACAATGGAACATAACATAATGAATAAATATAAAGAAAAACGATATATACAATACATACTACATGCATAATATATACAGGAAAATATACAGAAAAAATTGACTAAATAAATTAAATAAACTATAAAAAATAATGAACACGGTGATCTAAGTGAGATAGATCACTCGGCACTAATGATATGTCCTCAATAAATATAGATATACCTACTATGTGAGAGCTGCGCTCAGATTCTTACGATACTCTGTTTTAAATTTATTTAACGAGTCCAGCATGAAATATTCTTTGTGTGTGTTGTACATGAATGGAGCAATATATGAATAACATACATGGGTAGCTGGGCTAGCCCAGCGAAAACTGGAACTTTGTTGTACCTTGTACCTTAGTTCGTCAGGTTCGTCATAGGTAAATCCGGGTCCTCTCCAGTAAACGAGGTAGAGGAACGTGTAAAAATCCTCGAACGATCACTCATCCAACGAGACGAGAGGATTCTTGTCAATCAGGCGAAAGCCTCTTGCGACGGCGACCCATCAAACGTAACAAGAGGAATACTGTTGACATGGGTACCTGGGGTGATGAGGATAGCTCCATCAGGCCGTACATACGGCCTGGTGCCTCACCAATTGGGTTGGACTCCAGGGGGCAGCGGTTTCAAAAAAATGCCACCGGACTACGGTAGAGGAGGTGAAGAAGAATCCCACTATGGGTCAAGTGGGAGGATATCTTGCTTGCCTCGCACTGACACTGCAGAGCCAGTAGTCTGTTTTATCAGACGGCCTCACCATTGGTATAATGAAATGGTAGCAGGAGAACATGCCGTTACATAACGAAGATGGCTCTAGCGCGCTGATTTGGCAATGACTTCTTGAGCCACATTTTATAATAATGAATTGATATTCCAGAAATAAAGATAATGTAGTAAGTTATTATTAAAAATATAAAAGAAAATAGGCAGTTCCTACCTTTTTATTCGTAGCTTGCATGCCATTTTCGATAAAGTAGGAACAATAATTGATGGGTTTCCAGTTTCTACTCAAATTCAAATAACATCATTTAATCGAGAATTTTATCATTGCATAAACAACAATTCCTTCTTCATGCATTCTGCTTTCTTATTGGTGTAAGTACTTGAAATGTTTGGACATGACAGAAATTTGAAAATTTTCTAGGGTTAGGATAACAAATGAATAACAAAGGTTTCCGATAGAGGTCACTAGCTTACTGACAATCTGGTCAATAAGGGTCAATTTCGCTTTTTTTTTATTAACAGACTATATTTTACCTCTTTTTCATTTAGAATGACAATGATGAAGGAAACAAACTCGAAAGCATCTGATTCTCTTTACTTCACTACATCACCACTAGGAGATACCTGGAACTTCTACATTTATTCGAGAAATAGTTTCTTACTTACTCGTTTTTCTCCCGTCATCTACCATTGTTGTTTCATTTCATTGAACATTTGTGGAAATTACTCTCTGCTTTAACTTCATTCATTGACGACGCCGCGTTTCTGGTATGAATGTTTTTTGTGTTTCTATGCTATGCAATTTGACAGCATCGACATATTCTCTTAGCAATTGCTTCATATATAGCTTGCTTAAAAAGTGCTTCATAGTTCTGAAGGTTAGTTCACAATATTTTTTGTTAGTTCCATCAACTTTTTGAGAAATTCGGTGTGAAATAGTTTGTCAGTCCCAAGTTCCAAGGAAAAAACTAGACAATTCAGGCCCTTATGTGTCTTTCTATGAAGAAAGTAAATATTTCCGGTATGGAAAAATCAGATGCTATTCTCTGTTCAAGTGTTCATCCTTAACAATATCAAGTTCTTTTAATTTTACTAAAGAAAAATCGAGAGTATATCTATTTCCGGAAATGCATTTTGAACCTCTGCCCAGTTATTCTTGGCAATGAATTAAAATATGCAGATAGCTATTTAAATCTTATTAATTCATCTGCTAAGAAATTTAAACACAAAATTTTCATTTTCAGTAGAACTGTTGATAAAGTAATACTCTCGGTGACACTCAATAAATACGATAAAACTGTCACATTTCATATAGGATGTAATCTTATAGGTACACCGTACCCTATCATATTCATATAAGGTCTGACATGCTCATTACATTTGTTTACTTCAGGGACTACATATTCAAATTTGCCCTTTCAAGAGTACCAGCAATTTTTTTTGATGGAGAGCTCAATTAAGAGTATGTTAAATGTTTTATGATGCATAATTTTTTTTCATGCATCAACTGCAAAAGTGCATCGCGTGCATGATATCACATATCTCAAATTACAAGAGAACTGAATATCTTTGTTGGTTTCTCAATCTCAAACGTTCGCTATCCTAACCATTATTGAAATTATCAAACGTGATATTTATATGAGTTCATAAAAAATCGCGATTAACCTTCACCTAATAAATGTTGGCGTTGGGTATTATTTATCTTTTCGATCATTGTACAGGGTCCGGCAACAGGATTGAATGGTTTTGAAAAGCACAAAACCTTCAATAATAAACTAAAATTTTATCACTATTTGACGTCTGTCAAATAAACAGTTTTTCCACAGCATCCTTTTGAAAACCATTCAATCCTGTTTGCCGTACCCTGTACAGGTGGCCAACTAAGACTCCAGAGTTCGATTTCTCTGTTGTCTTGAGAGATACAAAAAAAAACGTATCAAAATTGAAGTAATAACCGAGCTTCACATTTCAAAATTTCTTTGAAATACACAGGGTGTTCCGTAAGGTCACAGCACATCAAACCTATGTTTTTTTCATTGGAACACCCTATATTTTATTTCATTTTTGAATTCTCCCTGAAGATCTGATTTCAAAGACCCATCATACTTAGGGTCTAGCAGTGAAAGTTACTGACATATAGCATATAGGGTGTGCAAAATCGAGATTTTCCCAGTTCAGGATTTTTTTCTGTCTAAACTGTTCATTATTCGTCAAAACGGTTTACATGTCCCTATCTCAACTTTTCACTCACTATCAATTGGTGTTCAATTGAAATTGATACAAGGTGGTCAAAAAATCTAAATTTATAATTTGTTCCAATTAAATGTCAATTGAACACCAATTGTGATAGTGAGTGAAAAGTTGATATGGGGACATGTAAACAGTTTCGACGAATAATGAACAGTTTCGACAGAAAAAAATCCTGAACTCGGAAAATCTCGATTTTGCACACCCTATATGTCAGTAATTTTCACTGCTAGACCCTAAGTATGATACGTCGTTGAAATCAGATCTTCAGGGAGAATTCAAAAATGAAATAAAATATAGGGTGTTCCAATGAAATAAACAAAGCTTTGATGTGCTGTGACCTTACGGAACACCCTGTGTATTTCAAATTTTGAAATGTGAAGCTCGGTTATCACTTTAATTTGAATGCGACCAAACTTCTCAACTAAAAACTGTTTTGTTGTCTGATAATTTTTAGTAATTTGTATCTAGCAAAATGTGAGTTTTGATGAATTCTGTGGAGACTGTGGAGCATTCCTTACTGAGAGAACGAAATGTTCTCTTCTATAATTAATGAATAATAAAACACAAGATATCCAATTCAAGATTCCAAAACTTAGTAATTGAAGCCCTTGAGCACTCGAGAGATTCAGAAAATATATAAAGTGCTCAAAGAAACAAGTGGACCACTGAAATATTTGACAATTTCAATCTGCCATATCTCTTTAGGAAATGAATGGATTTTCAATCGGAATGCAGTGCTTGGAAGATACGATCTTTCTGTTCAAGATTCCTCGTTCAAAACTCGTCGGGAATTTTTCTGTCATTATACACCAACTGTTCGAAAAAAGTATTACAAAAATTAGAGAATTCAAAGGCTTCCGTATTCCAGGGAATATTTTTTATTTTTCTACTAATCATTTTTTTCGAACGTTCAAGTCAATATCTCGAAACGGTTTTATAATTTTCCATATTCCTCATACAGGATGTTCAAAATCGATAATTTTTCATTTTTAGGTTTTCATCGCATCCCGTCGAACCGATGATGACTGTTGTAAAAGGTTCGACAGAAGCGACTCTTTCCATTGATTTTCGATTACGCGATGAAAAATCTTGTGATAAATAGGTTTCTTGACTTCATGTCAGCTCATGAATATCTTGAAACCATTGTAGCATCGTTTTTGTATGAATTGGTCAGAAAAATCCAGAAGGGCCTCCTTGCGTCCCCTTGGATTGCCTTACCTGAAAAATCACGAAATCAATTCAAGATATTGAAGATATTGAGCTGAGCAATCGATCCAAATGAAGGATTTGTGTTTAGCATAGCATATGGTTATGGCAGCACCAAATTGAACAGACGATTTCACCAAATTCTGAACATTTCTCCACAAACATTATTTTTTGTTCTGTTGAAGTTGTCGATGATTTCAACGCAATATGAATCCATTTTCTAGGATGTGTTCCGTCGTATAGAGTGGCAAGATGTGGCTTGCATAATTTTAAAATCCAAAAAGATGCGATATAAACCTAAAAATGAAAAATTATCGATTTTGAACATCCTGTATGAGGAATATGGAAAATTACAAAACCGTTTCGAAATATTGAATTGAACGTTTAAAAAAAATGATTAGTAGAAAAATAAAAAACATTCCCTGGAATACGGAAGCGTTTGAATTCTCTCATTTTTGAACGGGGAATCTTACAAAAATACTATGAGTGTTTTTGTCCATATTATTCATGAAAAAAAATTGGTTTTCAATAAACAAGATTTTGTAATGATGCTACAAATTGACACATAAGACAGAATAGTTACATAGATCATTTAGTTAGTCCTTTTCAGAATGATTTTATCGACAATTCCACTAAAATAGGAAGGAACAGAAATGCGAGTGGATAAAGAAATCGTAACAATATTTACTCAGAAATTGTAGCAATGAATTACAAATAAATAAATGTCATTATCATTATTATATTATATTTATGTTTTGTTCCAGATGAACTTCAGCTTCAATCCCAATAATCGTCCAATGTACAGATGTGACGGCCCCCAATACCCTATGACCCAAGCATTTTATAGGAATATGAACTACAATAGGACACATAAGAATGTTTTAAGAGTGTAGAGCGACCCCACCTCCACATTTCAGGATTAACGGTAGATGGTTGTACTGAACAAAAAAAAAACCTTCGAAATCAAGTCACTGCATTTTTAACTTGAAAGATATATTTTATGGATCTAATATATTTTGATTTTGCTGTTTTGGTTGGAAAAAGCTTGATGAGTTTTATTGTCTGGTTGGTGCTAAAAATGTATACTAGAAATTTGATTTGTATTCGGAAAAAAGATCGAGGGTGCCTTGGTATACTGGAGAGAGGTGAGGGTAAGACGCATCTAATTTAATTTCTCATTCAAACTATAAGCAATGTTTCGTTTTAATCGAGGAGTGTTTCTTAGGCATTTGTCAATTAATTCCTTGTGTATATGTCGTAATTTTAAGTTGATACATTGCTGTGATAATTTTTCTGTCATGACAAATAATGCCATTCGCAAGTCTGCATGATTTTTCGATTTGCGTTAACGCCGGAACATAATGATAGGTCAACAATTCACAGGGTGATTGGATATGGGTGTCATGCTTTCAATTCACGATATATCTCGAAATCTAATTGAGATTTTAAAAGTTTCTCAACAATATATTCAATTCCAATTCTATACTTACAGAGGGGACGTTATGTTTCCATACTACTACTACTACAAACCCTCTAAAATCAAAGTTCAGAGGTTTAGGCGTCGTTTGATAGATATCATCACCATTCAAGATTTTGTATTCAAATGTTCACTCTTTTTTAGTATTCGAGATATCGCGTCTTTCAATTGTAAACTACCCAAATTAACTCTCGCTACCTTCAACCTAAACCCTAATGCTTAAAGTTGAGCTCTAGCTTTGAATAGAAAGGGGAATGGAAGGATATTATTAACTACACAAGAAAAGTTGAGCTCTTCACTATTTGGAACGAGAGGGAGATGACATTTTTCTCCTCTTCAAATTTTTCTCTTTAGTGCTACAAATGATTTATGACATTTGATATCGAAAACAGAATAGATGGTAGACAAAGAACGAACTATCGGTCCTCCCTATATTTCACGTTGGTAGCACTGAAGGGAAAGATGGTCTCCTTCACGATTGGTGTCATTAGTGACTAATTTCTCAAACACATAAAACCACTATTCACCTTTCATCAGTGAATATAAATTTGTCTTCTAGTCTTATTTGTGAAAAATTATTCTGTATTTAATGATGGAAAAAAATAGTGAGGTTATGTCAGTTGAGTGTCATAGTCATAGACCATTTTCAGCATGTTATACCTTCCAATGCTGGATTTTAGAAAATGGTTAGGAGCTACTACTCCTTCCTCCACTTTTTTATTTGAGGTCGTTATGTATAGGGTCTTTGCATATATTTGGAACCCCATTCTTTAGTCTAATGAGCTTCTTTAATCAAACTTCTGTGCCCTGTATTTAGGTTATGATATATTTTTGGAAGTATGTTCATCTAGAAAAGTTTTCTGAGTTACTTCGCGAGCCTCAATCACCTCTCAAACTGAATGTACAAATTATCGAAAAATGTCAAGGGAAATGTTAAATTATACAGGGTGATTCACATAAGAACCGACATAGAGCAGGGGCATGTAGGGGGTCCCAAAATATGGCAATTTAACGCAACTTACCTCTATACCAAGTTGCTTCCCCAAGGAGTTATAGGCTTTGAAAGTGAAGTTATACATTTTGAAAAAAATCAATATCTCCGTTATTCTTGAACTTGAAGCAACCAAATTTGGTACACTTTGTGGATGTATTTAGGGCGTTATTTGACAGTAACTAGAGTTCAATTGAAATTTGTAAAGGGGGTATACCGGGTGGCGCACCATTAATATTCAACAGAATTTTGTTAACCCTTGATGGATTTCAAAAATCTTTGCTTCGTTGTGTGGGCAATTCCTTTCTAAAACTTCTTACTCCAGTAATTTTTCGAAAAACCCCATCATTTTCATCAAAAACTCGAATAATTGAAAACGCGCGCTCTAGGTGTGTTATTTAAAATCATCGAAAATTCAAAAGTTGGCTATGAAAATAAACGTACAACAAGAAAGTAGGTCATTAATTGTGATTAGTAGAAATTGGCTGGCAAATTATCATTTAGATACTTAACAAAATACGTAAAGTAAGTACAGATACTGAAATGTGAAAAAATGGGATTAACAACTAACCAAAATAAACACAAAAAACTTAAACAAAAACCAGAACAAACAATTGTTCATCGATAAATTACTTCATTGAACAACTTACTTGCTTCATTGTCAAGTTTGACGTTTATTTTCATAGTCAACTTTAGAATTTTCGATGATTTTAAATAACACACCTAGAGCACGCGATTTCAGTTATCAGAGTTTTTGATGAAAATGATGAGGTTTTTCGAAAAATTACTAGTCTAAGAAAAGTTTCAGAATTGAATTGCCCACGAAACAAAGTAAAGATTTTTAAAATCCATCAAGGGTTAACAAAATTCTTTTGAATATTAATGGTGCGCCACCCGGTATTACTCAACAAATTCTAATTGAACTCTAGTTACTGTCAAGTAACGCCCTAAATACATCCACAAAGTGTACCAAATTTGGTTGCTTTAAGTTCAAGAATATCGGAGATATTGATTTTTTTCAAAATTTATAACTTCACTTTCAAAGCCTATAACTCCTTAGGGAAGCAACTTGGTATAGAGGTAAGTTGCGTTAAATTGCCATATTTTGGGACCACCTACATGCTCTATGTCGGTTCTTATGTGAATCACCCTGTATAGAGTATTCCATTGGAAAAAACTAATTTTATTTTTGAATCACGTGACTCACGGTGGCAACTGTTTTTTAATTAGCATTCGAAGAAAATTGAAGTGAAACTGTACAACTTTTTCAAAGCTCATTCAACAAAAGCATCAAAGAAGCGGGGTTCGAAAGATCCTGTACATATCCTAGATAACGTCCTTTCAATGTGTGGTAAAGTTGTTCCGGCGATAGTAGAGGATGTTCTCTCGACGTATAATATGGTAGTCTGTGTTCCTCAGAATGAAGAAACTGCAATGTGCATAGGGCGCTTGCTTCGTTTCTGATAGTTTGGTGGGTGAGGCGTTTTTAAAAACGGGAGTAGCTAAGATCGGTCAAGAGAGAAAAATGACATGGAAAAAACGCATTCTCTTATCAGTATTATCGATTATGTAATGCAATCGCTTGCCATGGTTCATTTCTCATTACGTTTATCTGTTCTGTTCTTATCATTATCGGGCTCTTATGGCTCAGTCTTACTAAATTGATGAATACACATTTACATTTATGAAAAGAGTTTCAACATTTGCTATTACATTATCAAAAATTTAACTAAATTTTCCATTTTTAAAAACGCCCTAATATTTTAACTTGTAGCTTTAAATTAATTTCCCGCACAAACTTACTAAGTCATTGTGATTTGTACAATATTTAATGTAAAATAATAATACTGACTGAATTTTATATTGAATACCAAAAAAAGGAAGGATATTATCATTTTCATGAATTTTTATTGGCGATATCTAAATAGGTGTACATAGGCATAAAATAGTCAATTGCTTATAGTTTGACATTTTATGGTACAAATTTTAATCTTAGTGTTGCATTTCAGATGTAACACTTACTGCATTTAAAACTTGAATATTCTATCTAAGCTTTATATTGTACAGAAATCTAGGAATTCTAACTGAATCAACGGAATCATTCAACTGTAGACATATCAAAAATAGAATTATCTAAATGCTCAATCTTATCTGTATTATCAGTGGAAAAATTGCATAACTGTTGGGATTAGTATATAGGATGTTCAAGTCTTAAAATTTACTTGGTGAATCATTAATAGTATTTCATGTTTCGTCGGTTCAGTTGAAAATACCAATCTATCTTGGTTTCCTCTGCCTCAAATAGCATTTAAGGTTTCAAGCCGTATTGGGTATGTTCTAGTACCCAGTAGAATTCAGTAAACCTTGAACGCTAATTCATCAAACAACAAATACAAAAGTACTAGGGAAGAGAAGAAGCCCGTAAACCATGCTAGAAAATCTACTGTGGATACGAAATAATAGCTTCTTTTTCAAATATCTGCAAAAAACCGTCATAGAAATACTTTTCTGTCAGAATTATTCATTGAGTCTTTTCTGTTTTGTCCTACCATGGATGGAAAAAAAAACAGGCTTAGGCAAAGGTCTCCAAGCGGTGTAATATTCCAGGAACCGTTGATTTTTTTTTAGTTTTTCCCTCATATCTTTGTAGAGATTTGGTGTACTTCCATCAAATCCCGTATTAAAGGAGTTGATGTGTTTCAAGAAAATGGAAAATGTGTGACAACAATAGCTATTCTAATTGAACCTATTCTACCATCCTATACACGTTTTTAAATGAATCTAATGAATGTTTCTCAAGATATTTGATCATTACCAAACTTTTGCCTAATCCTGTATGTATTCTAGATGGTTAATATAACGATATTTCGAGAATTCCAACAAATTGAGGACATTGCCTCAATGGTATAGAATAGGTAGGTAAGTATTTTTAGCTGGACTGAAACCGGAGTTGTATGGTGATTTTGCAACTTGTTCATTTTCCATAACTATGTATATTTCCTATTGATTTTGTAAATATTGTTTTATAGAAAGAAATTCTATCAGGATACGACTATCTGCAATGAGTCTTTCATGTTTTCCGTCAGATGTTTCTCTGGTAGAAAATGGCAAGGTATGACCGAAGTTCACGTGTAGTCAGTTCAAAAACAATCTATCGTTAATCTCAAATTGATTGTGCATGTTTATAGGTGTTTATTCTATAAATTTCCAGTTGAAATTTATTTAGTTTTCGTACTATTCATTAAGTTGCAAGTTGATTTGGTGATTTATTGTTTTTCTTTTTGTATTTTGTTCAGCTATGATTTTATTTTCATTCAGTGGCCTTTGGTTTCGCCTATTCCTCAATGTTATTTGGTTTTTTTATTGTATAATTATTTTATCTCGATACAAAAATTATGTATACACAAACACTAAAGGCTGACAAATTTTCTGACGTTCTTGCAAAAAAATCGATTTTGTAATTTGGGGAGTCTGTCACAAATACAATATACATACATACTATATAATATCTAATGATGTGGTCCAAACTTATGACGAATATCGCTATGTCTCGTGTAAGTTACTTTCTAATTTAGTTTTTTTACAGTAAGGTTATGGTAATTTAAAAACTGTAAATGTATTCCGTACAGAATTGTTGTTTGCATCGATAGTATATGGATTTGAAGCATATAGATTGTAATGTAACTTTTGACTGATGATGTACAAAAAATTCACATGTGATCAACCAACATTTTATTATTTTGTTGCTTAACTTGGAGTTCGAGCAATTCTGTACATTACATGAATGCTAGGTTTGGTTTTAATAGTTGGTTATTATTTTTGGATGCATTATAAAACTAACAGGGTTTTATATCACAGGTCATTTGCATTTAAAAAAAAAACAGGTTTTGAAAGAATTAGGTACAATATCAACTTGTTTCAAGTGCAATTAAATTCAAACATGAGGATGTGATAATTTTTCTGTAAATAAAAGAATCAAAAATCTTTAACTTAATTTATATTTGCCCATGTGCATAATTCTTCGGAAACCTGAAACTTTACTGTAGAAACTGATGTAAGTAGGATGATGTTTCAGTGTAATATAATTGAAAATATATTAATGTTAGGCAATTGCATTTAAAACATCTTGTTTCATTTTCCAATTAACATCTAACAACGTGAAGAATAACGCAAAAAATCCAGTAGTCGACTTTATAAGCATTTCTAATGTTTTTAGGATTGCTGAATCTGAATCTGGAGTGATCAAACAAAATTTCGCCAAACAAAGTGAAATTTTCGCAATTTTTTTGCTCATAATTCTCAAAGGTATGTGTGGTAGCAAGAAACCAAGCTTACCTGCTTTGACAAAGACTAAATCTGACACAATTTGAGCTCAACCCAGACAGCACTGGATATTCCTAGAATATTCTCTAAATATGCTAAAAAGGAGAATATTCCGAATATTCATCGATTATTCCTAGAATATATACATGCCTCTGGAACATCTAAAAGGAATATTCCAAAGTTAATAGTCGAATATGTTCAGGGAATATTCAGGTATGAATTTTCCAGGAATATTCCCAACTGAATATTCTCTGATGTATATTTATGAAATATTCCCAACTGAATGTTCTTTGGGTTATATTCATGAAATATTCTCAACTGAATATTCTGTGGTGTATATTCATAAAATATTTCATGAATATTCCTATGTTTCTCAATACATAAATACCCATCATTATTTCAGAGATGTGAGTATCAAACATCAATTAGATGTGAGGGGAATTTGAAACAAAAAGTGTTTATGATCCGATTTCGAACAACGCTCTCACAAGAAATTGATATGTACAACATTATTCAATTCGATTACTGGCGTAGTGGTCAAGGCGTTGCTCTGATAGTCTTGACGTCACGAGTTCAATCCCTACTTGGGTCACTTTTTTTTATTTTAGAATATGTTTATTGGAATATTCCAGGAACATTCAACATAAAATATTCTTTTGGATATATTCTATGAATATCTGAGGAATTCCCATTCGCATATTTGGAGAATATTCCACAAATATTCCGGAATATTCCTAGAATAATCCAATATTCCAAAAGGAATATGATAGGGAGATTCATGGAATATCTGGTGCTGTCTGGGAACCTCACCTCTGTAGGTATAAAAGTTTTCCAGATACTGTGGCATTTGAAATTGCTACAAAATCATTTTAGTTTAGGTATTATTTGCATTGAAATTCATTTGAATTAGCATTGGAGTAACATTTGAAATTGTAAGGAATCTTTTTCATTTTTTTGTTTCATTAACTATCATTTTGTTAATATTAACCTTTTACTTACAGAGAACATTCACTCTTAATACTTAAATAATCCTGGAGTACTTGAACATAACTTTATAAATCAATTTTATCACACATAGTTTTGAATGATCCCATAGAAATAACAGTCATGATTAGTAATGTCTTCTGAAAGTCTATGTGCCAAATTGCCAGCAAACACAGTTACATCACAGAGTTATCGCATTCATTAATTCATTCATATTTCATTGTACCAGTATTCACCTGATGACAGTGCCGTATTATCCATAAGGCAAACTAGGCACGTGCCTAGGGGCGCGAGATTTCACAAGGGCGCGTCGTCGTCGAAAATGTGCGTTGGAGGAACGGGAAACGTCGGTGGGGCCCGTGAAATTTCCGATATTCACAATAACTACCCCTCTTACTTTCTTCACCCTGAACACGTATATTAGTAGTTATGATTTATAATATCTTATGACCACCAGAGGGGCGCCGATGAGATGCTTGCCTAGGGCGCTGTCGACATTTAATCCGCCCCTGCCTGATGAAGCTACTGTGTTAGCAAAACATGTCGTGTGACTAAGAATTATGTGGAAACCTGATATCGTTTGTGAAGCTTTTACATTTACTATGGATTTCCATCAATTAGCGGCCGAGTCAACTCAAAAAAAAAGCAGGCCCCCTGGCTGTAGCCTCCCCTAAATCCGGCACTGATACGAGGTGATTTCAGAGTTTCCTCAAATTCTCTGTAATTAACGAGAAATTTCATCTAGGAAATTGAACAGAAAATGGAAAAATTAAATCAAATAGAGAAATCATAGAGTGAATGTTTTACTCCTGATGGAAGCACCCTACATTTTTCCATTTCCCCATGAAATTCGCAGAAGCAAGATAGTAGCCAATAACAAGAATCACAGATTATTCCGGAAAACGATTTTAGGTCGAAAAATATCTATGGCCAGGTTAGGAATCCAGATATTAATTTACTTCTGATACAGATGTTTGCTAAAAAATTCAGTTCTGCAAAATTCACTTTTGTTCCACGTCTCATGGAAGTACTCCTCTGTATTTTCCGTATTTATTGAAGTAGGATTCTGAAATTAAGTCATTGAGTGTCTCTTCAGTGGCTCTATCACTCCTGCAAACTTCAAAATCTCACCTCCATAATAGGCCTTTTCATATAGATATATTTTTAAGACGCATGCGCTCGTTTTTAGATCCAAAATTTGATTGGGTAATGCGAAGGTGAAGTCTCATTGGCAATAGTTACGACACAAAATTCTGATTGGCCATTTCGAATATGGCGGTTATTATTGAAGTTCTGTCAAATGTCAACAGTGTCAACCACCATGGGCATTCGTCATTGAGAAACAACAATAACAATATAGTATTTCCGTTTCTATATTCCTGGTGAGTATTAATTGTATTATATTAATTTAAATCGAAAAACCATTACTTATTCGTTACTTACTAAGGAGTGTGGTGCAAGTGTTTCGGTGAAAATGGCCGCCACTGTCGTTGGCATGTCGTTGGATGCGAGATGTAAACACAGATAGTCATTTGTCATCTTAATGAAAAGGCCTATTACAGAAGATACAGGGGTGGGTGCTTTCAACAGAATAAGTGAGAGGCTACATAAAATACCTTATATCTGTTTCTCAGCTATAATTAAGCAATGAGGTATAAGTACTTCAAATGTATTACATCAACATTATTTTATAACACAATACATTAATATGAAGTCACAACAATAGCCATCTTGGTTGAAATGAGGAAAAACGATTGCAAACTACTCACATTTATTTCTAATTAGGTAGATTTGAGTCTATAAAAATAGATTAGTGAAGAAGTCACTGATGATGTGTATAGATAATATATTCTAATAGTCAAGGTTGTACTCTTAATTTAAATAAATATAATTTAAATCACATGAATCACCTACAGTGAATTACTTGTCACTCAATAATGATAATAATAATACCTCCAACAATAACAATGAAAAATTCTATCAATTCATACACAGAAAAATTGACACAATCTGCATCAAATTAATATTAAATCCCAGTCCAATATCTTTGGTTGTAGCATATAGAAGAATATAGATAATAAATTAATTGATATTTCAATTTTTGCCAAATAATTTCGGTAACTCATTTTCCAACCTGAAAACCTTCAATCTCGAAACTAGGTGCCAAGCTTCATACCCATCTTCATCCTTCCTCAAATAAGTACTGTGATAACTCACCAATTCCAATGAATCATCATGATCTAAATCTGCAATCAGCAAGGAATTTTGTTGATTTTTATAATCCGGTTGACAGTTATCATGTTCAGGACCATTACAAATCAAATAGATGTCTGTAACGCTCACGTTTTCGATTTGTGTATCATTTTCCCGTAGAGTGATCAAAACTACCCTTTCGGACACCTCATTCAAGTGGTAGGTTTCATTATGTACAGGTATGCTTCTTTTGTACACCTTGGTAACTGGAGAGAGCTTCCTAGAATTTTCCTGCCATTTCCATATCTTGAAAATGAAGCCGTTGAGGTGACCTTTCAGAGATAAAGTATTTTCTTTGGTCCGGTGTAGAGAAAAGGGTACAGGGGTCAATACTATTGCATTTTGAAATGTCCATACGCCTAATGTTGTATTGTTTGAGTTGTATAGGGATATCACGGCTTCACAATGTGGACAGTGGTTTTGGTTTTCTACAATCAGTTTGTGGGTACCTGGGAGACAAACAATTATTTTTATTCATATTTCATATTAATAAAAATAATGATAACATTTATTGACATGTTTATAGAGGAACACAGGAAGAATAAATAAATAGATAAAATGGAAGATAAACAGTTGAATACCAATTAATCAATATAAAGAAGAGATTCATTTAAATTGATAAAATATATTTCTTCGGTTCACTAACGAATTTTGTGAGGAGATTGATATATTCTATTCTGTTGGGTAGACTGTTATAGATATTTATACCACAAAAATACAGGGTGATTCAGATTTTAAGGTAAAAACTGAAATGGGTGATAGATCTCATCATATTGATAAAAAAGTGTGTATTAATATGTGTCCGATCTCGATCAGTAGCGGAGATACAGGGGGTCAAAGTCTCGGTTAAAGTTTAATTATTTTTTTCTAATAATTGAAATATCTCGCTCACATCTGAAGATATCAATTTGAATTTTGGTTTGGTCAATACTTTCTAGAAGATCATCATATGAAGCATTTCAAAGATTTTCAAAATCCACAGGGTGATACGTTCTTCTTCTTCTTCTAATTTTTTTCGTAGTACGCTTCTAACATCTTCATAGGGTGGATCGTTCAATTTGAAGAATTTATATCTGCATCTCAAATATTTTCGAGAAACGCACCGTTTTCGAAATAAACTAGCAAACCCGTGCAATAACATTTTGCCTATTATGATTCGCTTAATGCAATAAAATGTATGAAATTCCAATCTGAATCAGTAGCGGTGATACAAAGGGTAGAAGGTCAGGTTTCTTTTAATCGAACCGATAATCGAACAATCCAAAAACGACGCGGAAAATTTGTGTTGAGTAAGCCCCATCCAGTTGTATCCATATTCCCTATCTATACTAATATTTTAAAGAAGAAAGATTTTATTGTTGGTTTGTTGGTATGTATGTATTGAATAGGCTCCGAAACTACTGGATCGATTTGGCTGAAAATTGGTGGGGAGGTAGCTTAGAACCAGGAGAAGGTTATAGGATATTTTTATTCCTGTACCATTAGGAAATTGGCAGATCTAATATGTCGGATGGGTTTTGTAATTATGGTCCGATCCTATTCAAAATTGGTATCTGGAGGTTTTCGGGGTCGGAGATTATGATTCTTTCGTCAGAATTTGAAAATTTGGGCGGAATTTGGAAATTCAAGATGGCGGAACCAATATGGCGGACGAGTTTAGTAATTATAATCCGATTCCTTTCAAAATTGGTACCTAGGGGTTTTCGTGATCGGGGATTATGATTCCTTCGTCAAAATCAAGAAATTCAAGATGGCGGATCCAAAATGGCGGATTTTGCAATTAGAATCCGATTTTATTCAAATTTGGTATCTGGTTCTCTAATGATTCTTTCGTCAAAATTAGGAAATTCAAGATGGCGGACCCAATATGGCGGACGAGTATTGTAATTATGATCCGGACTCTCTTCAAAATTGTCATCTGGGTGTTGGAAATTTGGAAAGGGCAGGATTTGGAAATTCAAAACGGTGGAACCAATAATATACCGGACGAGTTTTGTCATTATATACCGATTCTATTCAAAATTTGTGAGATTGCGTTTTCGAGATCAAAAATTATGATTCCTTCGTCAAAATCAGGGAATTCAAGATGGTAGATACAATATTGCGGAAGAGTTTTGTAATTATTATATTCCGATTCCATTCAAAATTTTCATCTAAGTTTTTGGGAGTCGGATATTATGATTATTTCGCCAAAATTGGGAAATTCAAGTGAACTAAAAAGTAGTTGAAATGAATGGTAGTTTGAAAAACTAAAGAAACACGCTTTTATAGATAGCGAAACTAAAAAGAAGTAGAAAATAAAATAATAATAGTGTTTTGATGAATATTGAACTGGTAAAATATATTATAGAAATAATGTATATAGCAAAACAACGTTTGCGAGGTCTGCTAGTCCAAAATATTTTTGAATATTATTTGAAAAAATTAAAAAATAAAATAGCATTCAACTTGTCAGGAAAAATCTTCTTGCGGAATGTGATTAATTATTTCTCTTTTGCGTATTCCATTATTGTTAGCTATTTTTGTCCAAGAATAAAATTGAAGAAAAAAATATAGATGAAATTAACATATTTCAGACTGGATAATAATATGCTTGATTATCTCGAAAACGGTTCGTTTCTCGGAAAAAATTTAAAAGCAGAAATAGCCTAAATTGAATGAAGGAGATATTTCAATTAATCGAAAAAAATAATTCCACCCCCCGCAGATCCGCTACTGATCGAGATCGGGCTCATGTTAATATAAACTTTTTTAATTGAAATGATGAGATCTATCACCCATTTCAGTTTGTACCTCAAAACCTGAATCACCCTGTATAATGATTTTTTCCAAAATTGAAGAATGAATAATAGTTATTTATTATACAAGGGAAAAAAGTAGTAGATTGTAGCTCCCGGAAGTGTTGTCAATCAACGGTTTAGGTCATATGTTCATATGAAACCTCGTATGAAACTTTCTTCCAAAGAATCGCCTCCTGAAATATTGACATTCAATTTATGAAACACCCTGTATATACAGGGTGTCCGCTAAAAGGAGGTCAATCCATCAACCATATATTCCTTGAACAAAAACAATATGAGTTTCTAAATACCATTTTCCATTTTAGCCCTTCATATTCGATATACAGGGTGTCAAAGTTGGAAATTAAAATCTGTTTTTTTCTAATTACTCGCGTATTTAATGAGATATCAATCTCAAAATTGGTACATTACTTCAGCACAACATCGTGTGAGGAAAACAAAACCGAAAATAACTGTCAAATATTCAGAATACTGGGGGTCAAGTATACACTTACCCCCATATTTTCTTTGTACGTGCGCTAATGACTTCCTTTTTATTTTTCTTCAAGTTTTCAATCATTTTCGAGTATTTTTTGTCTCTTGTAAAATTTCGATAAAACTATTTGTTTATAAGATAATTCGAAAAGTACTGGTTATTGTTTGATGCCTATGCAGCTTACTTTAATCTCATAATGTTCACATACTCCTATTTATTTCGTCGAAATTGGTAGAGGGCGTATCTTTTTACGTACGAAAAGGTAAATATGGAAATACCGGGTCCTCAGAGCGAATGTATCAAAATTATTTTCACAAAAAAAAATGAAAAACAGTGAGGGCACGTGTCGAATAAAATTTTTTTACCAATCGAACGGCGTGAAATTTTTTTACGGGGTCTAATGAAGAAAAAGTGTTTTGGAATTTCGAGTGAATAATGATTTTAGGAGGATGTGGAGGTCGATCAACGAGCCCACCCTTCTAAAGGATTATTAAATTGATTTTTTTCGAGAACAGCCAATTTTTAAAATCGGTTTGAGCGGTTTTGGGTGGTGCGGAATTTCTTAAAAATATTATAGAGCCTCCTCCACACCGTATGGTATGTCGGGCGCGAACGAACGGGATATAAAATCGGAAAAATTAAAAAAAAAATATTTTCGGACATTTTTGGTGAAATTATGATATTCATGATTTTAATAGCTACTTGATGAATGAAATTGCAGATCAGGATTGTCTATGTATGTATGAAAGATTTCGTGCATAAGCCACATATTTTTCAAAGGCTAAGATTTTCTTTAATTAAAAGGGCTCGCATGTGTACTCAAAAAATTCATATCGAGCAATTCATTTAGACGTGTTGAATTTCTATCAATTGTTTTTCGTAAAAATTATTTTAATACATTCGCTCTGAACACCCGGTATTTCCATATTTACCTTTTCGTACGTAAAAAGTTACGCCCTCTTCCAATTTCGACGAAGTAAATGGGAGTATGTGAACATTATGAGATTACCGTAAGCCGCATAAGCATCAAAAAATAACCAGTACTTTTCGAATTATCTAAAAAACAAATGATTTTATCGAAATTTTACAAGAAACAAAAAATACTCAAAAATGATTGAACACTTGAAGAAAAATAGATAGGAAGTCATTTGCGCACGTACAAAAAAAATATGGGGGTAAGTGTGTACTTGACCCCCTGTATTTTGAATATTTGACAGTTATTTTCTGTTTTGTTTTCCTCACACGATGTAACTCTTTGTGCTGAAGTAATGTACCAATTTTGAGATTGATATCTTATTAAATACGCGAGTAATTAGAAAAAAACAGTTTATAGTTTCCAACTTTGACACCCTGTATATCGAATATGAAGAGCTAAAATGGAAAATGGTATTCAGAAACTCATATTGTTTTTGTTCAAGGAATATAATATGGTTAATGGATTCACCTCCTTTTAGCGGACACCCTGTATATGTGATATTTTATAACCTGTCAACTGAGGAAATTTCAAACTTTTTTCCTGTCACAGAAAAAATAATAATACATAAAGTGAAATGTTTTTAAAAGGGAGGAAAAGAATTTAGTCCATAGTAAACATGAGTGTATATGGAAGAAATTACACAAGGTTTTTTTGAAAAGAGTACATCTAGGAGTACATATATTCAGCACAGTCTACAGAATATTCCCATGATATCAGATTCTTTCTAATTCATCCAATTGACGAGAAATTTCATCTTGAAAATTGAACAAAAACGAAAAAAAAATTGAGTACACCACTTTAAATGATTGAACTCGGCCTGGCGTGAATGTGCCTTCCACATGAAAATTTATAGAGGTGATGACTAGCAGAAATGCTACAGTGTAGAACTTTTGGTGAAAAAAGGGGTGTTTATATTTTTTTATATGTTTTTATTGGTGCTATTTTGTGAACTTAAGTTTCTTTTAGGGCTTGAAATATTTGTATTCATTTCAATGTCACCCTGTATAGAATATAGGGGAATATAAGACAGGAAATAGAAGAAAATTCAGTATCAAGCAAGTAGTGATGCAATGTTTTATATGGGTTTATAAAATGAAATTGGACTTAGATTAGTATAACTTGTATATATATTCAACAGTAAAATGATAAAATTGTTGAATCTTTGGATTTTTTATAATTATGAAACAGATGAATTCTCTAGTTTAGAATAACTATTTTTATTTTTTGAAGTTCCTCAATTCCCCATAGAAGCTACAGCACTTACCTGTCTCCAAGACAGTTTGAGCTATGTCATTCTTAACTTCTTTTAGTTCTATCTTGTCATGAGGATTTTTATACTTTTTTTTCAGACCATCAAGGGTAAATTCAAATGTGACCTCTGTACCATCATATTTTTTACAGCCATATTTTATATGTTCATCATGTTGCCTCATTCTCAAATTGAAAATATATGAACAACTTGAGGGTAGTCTAATATTTGAAAGGGCTAATCCACTTTTGCCTGATATAACTAAGAAAGTTTCTTTCCTGTAGGCAGCCAATAAGTCACTAACTCCATCATTGTCAAAATCTGGTATTTTCACAGGCATGTCCAGCTCAGGTATTAATTCTTCCTCTGAACTGTGAGCATGCCACAGAGCTTCACCTGATTGTGTTTGGATTGCTTTGAGACTCTTTTCATCCACTACTAGGCAATCATCATAGCCATTCCCATCTACATCAATAATTGAACAGTTGATGGCAAAGGGATGACTCTCCTGTTGGAAATACCAGGCAACATTCCCACTGGTTCCCACAAAGGACATTATACCATTTTTCAAACTTTTTTCACTGTTAAAGCTTCCTTTGTACATCAGAGCAAAGTTCCAGTTGTTCTCAAATGCTCCATGAACTAAATTTATGGTCCCTAGCAATTCAATATCTTCCTGGTTGGTTTCATAGTTGGGGATCCTCATAGGGCAAGTATTAGAATCGGAGCATGGCAAGATCCATAGAAAAATAACTATTGGCAAGAAACATAACAGAATAGAGAATACAAAAGCAGTCTTGCGTAAGGCTGTCATTTTAGGAGTAATTCGCTTGATGTGATGCACATCATCATTAATATTGAATCCTAAACCTAGGTTGTGTCCATTTTTTCGGCAAGCAAAGTTGTTCAGTTTGTGGTTACTGGATATTATGCCATTTGTATGAATTGGCCCCATGGTACCTTCTTTTTCAGAGTCAGAATCACTGAGAGATTGTGGTAAAGGAGCATATACCCCTTGCATTGAGTGGGATGACATAGTCTGCAAATTTATATATTTTTTGTTACTTGTATCAGGTAGATTGTATCATAGATTAACAATATTAATCTGTGATTGTATATTGTGTATTCACAATAATTCACATTATTCTGAGTATAATATTTACAGAAAATCGATTTTTGAAATTCAATACTCACTCCGCCACCCCCACCCTCCACCCTGCCATTAGTGCCATTTGTCATTTGTCTGAGTCTGATTTGTCAACGTCAATTCGCCAAACTCTTTTGAAATGTCAACTGTCAAAAATCTTCTCCATGTCGTCCAGTTTAATAACTATTTCCGTGTTTGCCAAAGTACTGTGAGCTGTAAGGACAAAAAATCAGAAGATTATTCTTGCCATGCTGCATGTCAAGATTGTCAAGATTCCTGACAAAATCCAGAATCCTGAGGAGTAAAGGCCAAAACCGCCAAACGCCAAATCGACAAATCGTGGGGTTCCCCGTCATCATTGCTTATCTTGTAATAATCCATTTATCATTTGCTGAATTGCTGATTATATATCCTTAATTTTTTATAATTTCTCAAGAACTCTGCAGCTACAGCATTTATTTCATTAAACGCCTTCTAAGTAAGTAATATAATCATTCTTCAATATGAAACATTGCATAAAACATTTTCAAATGTCTGGATTTGTAGGTTAAACATGGGTAAAAAACAAAAAAAGACATTCAGAGCTTTCCAGCCCGAATCTGCATCTAACACCAAGCCAGCAGAGTTCAGTGATAAGAATCAGAGTGAGTCATCTAGTTATGCTCATAATTCACAACCAAAACGTGATATAACCCCACCAACACCAAGGAACAGTACTGTTGAAGGAATTATTGTCCAAACAAGTCCTGCTGAAGTTGTTCCTAATGTGTCAGCACAAATAGTATCAGAGGAATTCAAACACAAATGTGAGCTTCAAGAGGAAGGTACCATACCAAATGTAAATCAAGTTATTCCTCAAAGACCCTTCAGCTCTACTCCAAGTACAAACAATGCTTGGGTAACTAAAAAGCTGAATATGAGCAATGCTGCCCCAGATCGACGTGGACACACTACCCAAGGCTTTGGGCGAGGCCGTGGTCATGTTCCACCACCAGATGATAATTGTCCAGGACAACATGTTGCATGGCCAGCACCACAGAATGTAGTTTCAAGCAATATGGAAGTGGAACAGCTTGGTTCTGGTAATGTTGTGCCTGTTGGGCCAAACCAATCTACCTCAATGATATATGATATTAGCCATCCACATTCTGATTCACACACAGGTATAGTATGATGTTATGTATTACATGCATTTAATTTTTGTTTGATTGCACTGAAGATGATGGTCAAACATTTTATTCAAATATGTCAGTTTCTGTAGAGTACCTCTTTATATAAGTGTATGCAAATTTTGTCTGTCAGATATCTCAATTTTTAATATTTCTCAACTATATCATAACCAAGAAATCAATTTCTCTTGAAAGTATAGTGACTCAGACTGTATTATAATTTTGTTGTATTGTTGGGATGCATTTTCAAAATGTGAAATCTCAAATATATATGGACACCTACTTTTTTACAAAAATCAATGGATTCATTAAGTATCTTCTTTATGAATAAATTACCTTCTTAGATCTAATTTCTAATTTTAGCAGAGATTGTATGTATCATTATATTTACATAAAATATCAAATTCTCAGATATTCAAGATATATTTCAATATATTTTGATATACATATTATATTGGATATTTCCATTTATGTTAAAACTATCAGTTTATTAAGAGCTAGTATCTGAAAAAATAAATCAAAGAAAAATCATGTATTTATTGATAAAAAAATAACAAAATAGTATTACAAATGAATTCATATTTTGTCTTGACAAGAAAATCAAGTCTTATACAAAAAATTCTAGTCCTTTCAAAGGCTCTGCTAGGGTCAAGCTCCAGTCAAGGCATCCATAATATTCCATATTTCCATATTTCCATATAACACAGTACAGTACAGTTACTACAGTTTTTAAAATTCCCAAATACTACGGTGGTTCCCCCAGATTCCTGGTTGCATATTTGTTCTGAAAGGAAAGCCACTGTTGCCAGATTTAAGAAAAATAATTGATTTCCTCGACAGTTTTGAAAAATTCCCAAATAGCTCGGTGGTTCCCCCAATCCCTGGTTGCATATTTGTTCTGAAAGGAAGGCCACTGTTGCCAGATTTGAGAAAATAATTGATTTCCTCAACAGTTTTGAAAAATTCCCAAATAGCTTGGTGGTTCCCCCAATCCCTGGTTGCATATTTGTTCTGAAAGGAAAGCCACTGTTGCCAGATTTAAGAAAAATAATTGATTTCCTCAACAGTTTTGAAAAATTCCCAAATAGCTGGGTGGTTCCCCAATCCCTGGTTGCATATTTGTTCTGAAAGGAAAGCCACTGTTGCCAGATTTAAGAAAAATAATTAATTTCCCCAACAGGTGGATAAACAAGTTGATTTTTCTTGTGTGATAAAGAAAGAAGTTTGGATATTGCCCCGTCACACACACTCATTGAGAATAATATGAGAACATCAAATGCAAATATCTTCCTAATCCTTGGAAATAACCCTATCATCTGGTATCCTTGATTTCTTTTAAAAACCCTAACCCATGATGGAATAAGATAGAGGGTGTCCCATTTAAAAATCAAATGTTGGGGTCATTTTTGGTCAAACCGGAAGTACGGCAAAGCAAGTAGATATGCCGAAAAATTTAATTATAATTTACAACCCCCAAATTTTTTTTCACTACCTTCAATAATAAAAAGAGAGGTGTGAGTCACCTTGTAAAATCACCGGGTAATATTAATTCAGAGATGAATATCAAGATATATTACCTACTTGATATACAGGGTGGCATTGAAATAAGTGCTAATATTTATAACCCTGAGCAACCTTGACGTATACTATATTAGAAGAATTAGAAAAAACTGGTATCAAGGAAATATTCTTTAGACTGTATCATATCAATGTACTGAATATGAACACTTATTTCAAAAACACCTTGTATATATATACGAGACGTACTTGACTTTTTCCCGTTTTCTGTTCAATTTTCAGGATGAAATTTCTCGTTAATTGAAAGAATGTAAAAAAATCTGATGTCATGGGAATATTCTTCAGACAGTATCATATTGATGTGCTAAATATGTGCACTTATTTCAAAATCACCTCGTTTATATACAAGGTGTTTTTGAAATAAGTGCTCATATTCAGCAAATAGATAGCAAAATTTGATTTTTTCGGTTAAAAACATGATAAAATATAGTGTGTTCTGAAGCAAAGAGCAAAAAATGCTCAATTATGAGGCAAAGATATAATAACATCAAACTGTAAATGTAGATCTATCCACTTTGTAAATTTTTGAAACATTTTCATTTGTATTTTGAAAATGCCAATCGTTTTTCCATTCAGAGTGACCAAGGTAAACAAATTTCTCACTATTTCCACGTGCCACCAAAACTCGGTTTCTGCATTTTTTTATTTTCCTGGATCATTCTTATGTAAATGAGGTTTCTCAGTTTATCGCCATAGATTACTTATGTGAAGTTGGCACCGACTTTTTTAAAAAACTGAATTTTTATCGGAGTTCTGGGTAGATACGATATAGTTCTAGAGTTCCTGACAAAAAATTTCAATAGTTCTGGTTAATTGTAGAAAATAACCGAAAAACAATATTGTGGGTGCTAACTTCACGCGGCGCCGCTTTTTTCACAGAAAAGAGTTCTAATGAAAAATTCCAACGTATTTGAAAGAGTTCTGGAGTTCCTGATATATTTCAACGATAGTTCCAGCGAAATAACAAAGTTATTCCTATTTTTAATAGGGACATTCATACGATCATGTAGCATCCACCACTTTCTAAAGTTCGGGTCGGAGTTCTGGGTAGCACCAGTCGAGTTCCACATACTATCTAGGTAACTTTTTTCTCTAAAATCGAAACTTTAGTTTTCATGAGCGAAAACAAGGAACCGACTGAAAAAAAAAGTTTTGTGAAAGATTTGGAAAGGAGAGACAATAGAGGAGTTCTGATCGGAGTTCTGGGTAGCACCAGTCGAGTTCTACATACAATCTTGATACATTTTTTCTCTACAATCAAAACTTAAGTTTTTATAAGCGGAAGAGAGGGACCTATTAAAAAAAATGTTTTGTGAACGATTTGGAAAGGAGAGACAATAGAGGAGTTCTGATCGGAGTTCTGGGTAGCACCAGTCGAGTTCTACATACTATCTTAATAACTTTCTTCACTAAAATCGAAACTTTAGTTTTTATAAGCGGAAACGAGGTTTTTCTTCAAAATCAAAACTACCCAGAACTCCGATAAAAATTCAGTTTTTCAAAAAAGTCGGTGCCAACTTCACATAAGTCCATAGATTGCCTGACATTACTTCAATTCAATCTTCCGTATTCTTAGGTCTGTCACTGAATGTTGAGGCAAACGAATTCGTGCCCAGAAAAGCCATAAAACAATCATTCAATCCTTCTGACGGTACATGTAGAATACATCCAACAAATAACACACCTGCTTTGTATGGCCCTGCTATTTATCCTGTGCACCAGGCACAGCCAATAGAAACCCAAATCTTTCCTTCAGAAAACAATGTAAGTAATACAGAGGACGTGGTGTCACCAGCAGAACCTTCTAGTGGTAAAGAGCAACAAGCTTGGATTGACAATGATGAAGGAACTTACACTAGACCAGTACATAGTAATGATTATCCCCATAGTGGATATCCAAAACAGGATAGTATTAGTCGACCAGTACCTAGTAATGATTATCCCCATAGTGGATATCCAAAACAGGATAGTATTAGTCGTGGTGGTAGAGGAGACAGCAATAGAAGTTATCAAAATTCAAGAGGAAACAATTACAGACCGCCTCGCAATGGAGATAGAAGAGATGACCGCGGACAAAATCGAGATTCTAGTAATAATAGGACTAGGAACGATAGAAAGGAATCTGACAACTATCATGATAGACCCAAATATCAGGATCGTCGACCTAGAAGAGACAGTAATCGTGAGAGAAAGAATTGGCAGGATACCGGAAATACAGACCAGAACCAATTACAAGAATCATGGGACGACAACCAAGGCACTGATAATACTGGGAATGTTGATGATTTGGACAAGTCATCTGAATGGATGCCTGCCAAGAATCATTCCAAGGGTTCTAAGAATCATGAAAGAGAAAAAACAAGACCCAAATCAGGAGACAGAAACGACAGCAAAGGATATCATCAAAATGATAGAAAGTCACAAAACAGAAGAGATACACATTCTAGAGATGTTTCTAAAGTTGGTAAATATGATGACCGGGACAGTAATGCCAGTGATGCTGAACGAACTACACATAAAAGGGAAATAACGGTAAAAACGAATAGAGGGTCATGGGACTCCAATGATAGACGATCGTTTGACAAGAAAACCTATGTGGATCCAAGATCAGATCGTGAAAGAAACTCACTGGATTCCAGTAGACAAACCTACGATAAATCTAGTACAGATGATGATTATTGGAATAATTCATTCAACAGCTCCACTAACGATAGGGATAATAATTCTTGGAGGAGGTCAGGTGGTTCAGGGAGATTTGAGAAACCAAACAAAGATATTTATAATCGTAGTTATGAGAAAACAGATGATGAATATAGGCAGTTTGAAGAAGAGTACAGAAAGAATGAGAGAAGAGAACCTGTCAAGGTGGAGGAGATAGAAAAGGATCTGTTTGAAATGCCATCGGACTATTCCTTGGGACACTGTGTAGCTGAAGACATGAGGATGGGAAGTGGAATAGCTGTCAAATTCAAGTAAGTGATACAAATTCCAAAGTACAGTTATATATCATCAAATTTGTACAGCAGGATTGGCTATGGGTTTCATGATTTTAACTGTGGATGACTGGAAAATTGATGAGGTTATTAAATAGTACAATATAAAATCAACAAAATAAAATATTGAAATCATAAGCAATTACCTATTTATGACTATTTTCATGGTTCATGGCTAAGGCATACATTATATCTGTGGATGCCAAAACACATACATTGTTTTCTTGGCTCATACAAGTTATAATCAAAAAAGAAAAATTGAAGATACTGCACTGTATATGCAGGCGGGAATCTTTGATTTATTAACATTTATACCTTTGTTAATAGATCTTCATAATATTACATCATTACATCTTCATAATATTACACAACTTGAGTGTAGGTATTTTCTGAATAACAGTACCATGCACATCAAAAGTTACCACGCGTTGTATGCGATGTCCCACCCTCTATATGCGCATAGATTCCAATAAAAATATAAAAAATGTGTACTACCTTTTGTTCACAATGTTGCTAATTATCAGAATTTCTCTGAAATCATAAAATAAATATCAAGTTTTTCAAGTTAACTTTTTATAGCTTTAATACTGATAATATCATTTGTCAGTGACGATTCGAGATTATCTATTGAATGCTTTCGAATTTCAGTGGCGGAGTAACATTTTAGAAAAAATCTAATTTGGAAATTTTTTTGACATTAGTAGAGACCAGTTCTATGATTTTAATATCGTCAAAATCAGGAAATTCAAGATGGCGGACGAGTATTGTAATTATGATCAGACTCTCTCCAAAATTGTTATCTGGGTGTTTTCTGGGTCGGAGATTATGATTCTCTTGTCAAAATTTGGAAAGGGCGGGATTTGGAAATTCAAGACGGTGGAACCAATATATCGGTCGAGTTTTGTAAATTATATACCGATTCGCCAAGATGGCGAGAACTGAATAGCTGTGTGTAAACTGAGCTCCCCAAAATTAGTATAAATAACGGTGTTTCAATCTATAAAACAATTTCTAAATTGTCAGAGAGTGAAAAAAATCAATAGCCTTGTCTCAAGCAGTGAAAAATAAGCAAATATGGTTATAACACGCGAAGTAAGAGATGAAATAGAAACAGCAGTTGGCCATGCCATTAATAAGTGTATAAAAAGCGACTCTTTCATTAAAACTATAGTGAACAATGTGACCGAAGCCGTCGCAAAAACTCTGGAGAAGAAATTATCACAGTTGGAAGAGACAGTGGCGGAACTTGTGAATAAATTTACTGAACTGAAATCGGATTGTGAAAACAAAATGAAAACTCTTGAATATAAAATAAACGAAACAAACGTGGAAAAGGAGAAGATCGAAGAAACTATGGAGAAAATTGACCAGGAAAACAGAAAGGCCAATCTAAGAATATTTAGTTTTAAAGAAAAATACCAAGAAAATACAAGAGAGGAAATAATAAATTTTCTCAACTCCAAGATGTCTTTGAATTTAAGAAACGAAGAAATCGAACTGTGCTACCGGGTTGGTAAACGAAGTGATACAAAAAATAGAGGAATCTTCCTCAAACTGAAGAATCTCGACACAAAAGAAGTAATTTATTCAAGAAAAAAATTACTCAAGGGAACAGGTATTGTAATAAGAGAAGATCTCACTACTATGAGGGTTCAAATGCTGAATAAATGTATCGAAAAATTTGGATTAAAAAACGTATGGACTGGAAATGGAAAAATTTATCTTCAAGCAAATAATCAAGTGTCCATTATAAAAAACAAAACAGACTATATACGCATTATTGGCTAAGAAGACACCTAAATTATATAGATTATTTTTTTTTCTTATTTTTTCTTAATTTCTTTTTTTCTCTTATCTCAAACTTAAATTTGTATTTCATTATAAACTATTACTGTTACATTACTATTACTGTTTTCATTATTAATTACGCTCATTCGATGTAATTTCTTTTCAAAATTTCGTTTCAAAAATTTTTATTTCACACCGTATCATAAAATTTAACTTAATCGTTAAGGGGTATCTCAGTGCCCTAATCAGTTATACTTAAATGTTAGATCTTTTGGATACACTAGATGAAAACATACAAATTGACACAAAAATACTAGATAATTTTCAACAATATGTACAAGGTAGAACCGGCGGAAGCAAGAGAGGTATCGGTATCGCCCACTTCAATATACGAAGTCTACAGAAACATCACAATGAATTACTAATACATATCCAAATGGCAGAAGATCTCCTAGACGTAATCATTCTTTCGGAAACAAGAAAGATTGAAAATGTAAGTGATTTTTCTATTCCAAACTATAATATACATTATAATGAATCAACAGTCAATAAATGTGATGGTGTAGTTGTATATACAAAAAGTAGCCTTTCTGCTATTGTCGAAATTTCACCAATAAACGAAACCAAATTTCTCAGGATAACTTTCACAAATAAACTCTTACATTCACACAATACAATAGGTATAACAGCTTTTTACAGGTCACCGGCAACAAATGTTCAAAGTTACATAACTGATCTAGAAATATACTTGGAAAACTTGAAAAAGCAAAATTTAGAAATATACGCGGGAGATATAAATATAAATTTACTTCAAACGGAACAACCTGATACAAACAGATATTTTAATGTTTTGAACTTGAAGGGTTTCATATCATATATTAACAAACCAACTAGAGTCACACAGAATTCTGAATCTGCTATTGATCATATCTTTATAAGAAAAGAAAAATGTTTAGAAAATAAAATCCAAATCGACCCCTACATCATTAACACTGATATAACAGATCATTTCACGCCAACCATTTCAATCTTACTTTCCGACCATGAAAGTCATCCATCCAAAGCTGGAAGAGACCAAATAATGAAAAAAATTCATTATAAAAAATTGAATGAATTTTTGAGTAAAGAAAATTGGAGGGAGGTATTATCAAGTGAACAAGTACAAGAATCATACAATCTCTTTATAGATAAACTGAATAACTACATAAGTAACGCGACTACCACAAACATTTTTCAACCAAAAAAATATAATAAAATAAAACCATGGATTACATCGGGTCTGATTACCTCTATTAATGAAAGAGACAAACTCAAAAAGAAGCTGCTAAAAAATCACAATATTCAACTAGAAAATCAGTATAGAGAGTACAGAAATAAACTAAATCGTCTAATCAAAAAAACAAAAAACGACTATTATCAAAGTGAAATAAAGAATGCAAGGGGAAATTATAAAAAAATCTGGAAAATAATTAACGACATATCAGGAAAAAAATCTACTAAAAATATAGAAGACATCATAATTAGAAATGAAAAAACTGAGCCAATAACTGACAATAAGAAAAAAGCAGATACTTTCAATGAATTCTTTATTAATTTAGGATTGAAAATGGCAGAAAATATAGAGGAAACTAACATACCTGAACATTTTCTGAATGAAACTCCAAACAATTCATCAATCTTTTTAAATCCAACCACATCTAATGAGATTACAATCCTCATATCTAATCTAAAAAACCACTGCTCTCCTGGACCTGACAAAATTAGTTCAGTGACAATAAAAAATATTCATGTACATATAATTCAACCTCTAGTTCATATTATCAACTTATGTTTTGCATATGGGGAAATTCCAAATCAGTGGAAACAATCTATTGTCACTCCAATTTTCAAAGCTGGCGATTCCTGTCAGTTAACGAATTATAGACCGATATCAGTTATAAATAACTTTGCTAAATTATTCGAACAGGCTCTGAAAAATAGAATGCTTGGATTTTTTGATATCCACAATATCATAAATGAGAGACAGTATGGTTTCATAAAAAAATCGAACACAGAAAATGCAGTTATTGATTTCCTGGAACATACAGTAAAAGCCATGGATGACTCAACGAAATGCCTTGCGATTTTCCTTGATCTCGCTAAGGCTTTCGATACGGTTTCCCACAACAAATTGCTTGATAAACTTATAAATTATGGCATACGTGGCACAGCCCTTGATCTCTTAAAGAATTACTTATCTGAGAGATACCAAGTAGTGAAAATCGGAAAGGAAATTAGCTCAGAATCGAAGGTCGAAATAGGAGTACCACAAGGAACAGTGTTAGGTCCGATACTGTTCCTTGTATACATAAATAGTATCTCTCATATAAGTGAATTTATGGGACATCTGATATGTTATGCAGATGACACAGCTCTAGTCTTCACAGGTAGGGATTGGGAAGATGTTAAATGCAAAGCTGAGTCGGGTCTGAAAAAAATATTACTATGGTTAAACCACAACTCACTAAGCTTGAATATCAAAAAAACCAAATATATAACCTTCTCCCCAACAATAATTGATCAACCCACCCGATTTATTCTTAAAGTACACTCGCCAACCTGTGATGTTGAGACATGTCGCTGCCCGATCTTAGAAAAAACATCTTCAATTAAATATTTAGGGGTAATAATAGACCAACATATACGCTGGTCTGAACACATATCTCATGTGACAAGAAGAATAAGAGCATTATCTCATAAATTTTACATTCTACGAGACATCCTTTCGAGAAAAAATTTGATTATCTTGTACAATAGTCTTGCTGAATCAATTGTCAGATACTGCATAGTTGCATGGGGAGGCGCTTTCATTACCACACTACATGTATTACAGACAGCACAAAATATATTAATTAAGATTATACTAAAAAAAGACAGACTATTTTCTACCCACCTACTCTATAAAGATACTGACCTGCTTAATATAAAAACACTATTTATTTACCAATCATTACAACGAATGCACAGTACGCAAAATAAATATACGGTGAAAAAAAACAGAATGACCAGATCGACTCTAAACAAAAACATTCAAGTTCATTCATTCAAAAAATCTGTAACCCAAAGATCATTTATGTATTTTGGTCCAAAATTCTTCAATCTTATACCAGCTGACCTTAGAGATATAAAAAACCACAAGATCTTCAAAAAGTTAGTAAAAAAATTCATAATAGAAAACCATGAAAAATTTGGTTAGATTTAAAACCAGAGAAAGGAATAGTTAATCTATTGACGCCATGATGTATCTGAAACGCATAAACTGATTGCCAAACCACTGTGGTTCCGTCGGTTCTTCCTCATTGCTACAATGAACCTTCATATTATTTAATAATTGTATCATACGCTCGCCCTTACTACACACGTGATTGCAAATTCGAAAGCATATGTGAAGGGTTGGACAAGCAATACAGGCATATTTGCCTAGGCCAATTCCGACCCTGAACCAGATGCTGCTATAAACCAGCAATCGGAATAACATGTATTTTGTTAATTTTGTAACATGAATTTTTGTATAACTTGTAAATTTTGTAACTAGAATGGCAATAAAATTGAATTGAATTGAATTCTATTCAAAATTTGTAAGTGAGCGTTTTCGGGATCAAATATTGAGATTCCTTCGTCAAAATTAGGGAATTCAAGATGGTAGATCCAATATTGCGAACGAGTTTTGTAATAAATTATGTTCCGATTCTATTCAAAATTTTCATCTGGGGTTTAAGAAGTCGGATATTATGATTCTTACGTCTAAATTGAGAAATTCAAGTAAAATAAAAAGAAGTTTGAATAAATGGTAGTTTGAAAAACTGAAGAAACACGCTTTTATAGATAGGGAAACTAAAAAGAAGTAGAAAATAAAATTATAATAGTGTCTTGATGAATATGGAACTGAAAAAATAATATATTATTGAAATAATGTACATAGCAAAACAACGTTTGCAAGGTCTGATAGTTGTTTTAGGTATATATATTATGTTTTTATATCCCTATTATAAACAATATGTTTCTTGTGGCAATAAAGAACAACAATAATTTGATTGTTTGTTGTTGTTGCAATCACAAATCGCTTTTATAATAATGCTAGTTGAAGCATAATTATTCAATATAGTTGACTCAAACGTAACGTTTTCATTCATTCAAATTGAGTGAATAAAGTCCCGATTGTGATAAATCTCTCTCCAATAGGAGAGACTTCAAACAGGTAGAAGAACTACTAGGTCAGAGACAGAAACAAGGTGGTCTGGCTTATCTAGAAGACAACAAGAGATACGTCTACTACCTCGTCACCAAAAGAACCTCTTCCGGCAAACCCACCTACGAAACGTTCTGGTCCTCCTTGAAGAAGATGAGGGATCATATCGTCGAAAAGGAAGTCAAGCAGCTGGCCATACCGAGGATCGGATGCGGTCTGGATAGGTTGGAATGGTCCAAGGTCAGCTGTATGCTCGAGTTTCTCTTCAGGAATGTGGACGTCAAGATAACAGTTTGCAATTTCCAGCAGGTATGTTTTTTTTTGTTCCACGTTGATCTTTATCAACACTCTCTCATTAACTTCACCTGTATGTATGCAAGTTGTTTTACAATTGACAATGCATCATGAAATTTTCGTTAAAAAAAATGTCAGCTCCAAAATGACGGTCGAGGTTTGTAATTATGATCCTATTCTATTCAAAATTGGTATCTGGGGGTTTTCAGGTTCGTAGATTATGATTCTTTCGTCAAAATTGGGAAATTCAAGATGGCGGATACAATACGATAGACGAGTTTTGTAATAATTATGAACCGGGTATGTTGAAAATTATTATCTGGAGATTTTCGGAGTCGGAGATTATAATTCTTTCGTGAAAATTGGGAAATTCAAGATGGTGGATGCAATATCGCGGACGGGTTCTGTCATAATTATGATCAGATTCTATTCAAAATTGGGAAATTCAAGATGGCGGATCCAATATGGTGGACGAGTTTTGTAATTATGATCCGATTCTTTTCAAATTTGGTATCTGGGGGTTTTTGGGGTCGGAAATTATGATTCTTTCGTCAAAATTGTGAAATTCAATATGGTGAATCCAATATGGCGGACGGGTTTTGTTATCATGATTCAATTCTACAAAAAATTGTATCTGGGGTATTTCGGGGTCGGAGATTATCATTCTTTCGTCAAAATGAGGGCTAACATTTTCAGTCTCACCAATTTGTCCTACTTAAATGTGAGGTCAATGTCAAAGTCAAAAATCCCAATTTTATTACCAATTATTACATTGACGGAGAAGAAGATGTCATAGAAAGTGGCCAAATGACATGAAAAGAAGAAGTATTTTTATCAGTTCTACCAACTCTGAAATAACCAGGAAAGTAGTTGTTTTCTGTTGAATATTCAGAATGATGTTATGTGCATATACATATTTTCATTTGAAGAATGCAACTTCTCAACATTAGAAGATTTTGTGTTCAAATTCTTATCGTGTGTGTTCAATAGATATAATTCAATGTTTGTCGTGGCATATAGACAGGAAAGTAGTTGTTTTCTGTTGAATAAACAGAGAAATAATTGTGAATTCTCAATGTATTTCTTTATATATAGATATTTCCATTTTTTCATGTTCATAATTTCAATAATTCCACCCAATCAAGTGGTTCAAACTTGTACGAACAATAATAAAAAATCTGAAAATGTTCCTTGCCCAAACTGGAATTTGAACACACGACCTCGCGATCGTGAGTCGGGCGCTGATCCTCTGCGTCAGTCCCGTCCCCAAACATGCTGTAAATATTAGCAGGAGACTTGGCAACAAGTGCTGAATGCTGAGTACTGACAAGGCAACGCCCACAATCCTATATCCGTGTTATCACGTTTACCGGGCCAAATGTCCTCTTGTGTGAATTAATATAATTATTATTTACACAAATTAATTATAAGCAGTAAACCGCAAGCTAATAAAGAATATTTACCAATATACAGTGCGTCCCACTTTTCATGAATACACCCTGACATCTCAGTTATTAATGGTGCGATTCTCTTGGATTTTTTTTAGTGATTGTATGTTAAAATAAGGAAGTATTTTGCAGAATGAACAGATTCATTCACCATTGGCGTGCGATGTTGAGGGGTACAAAAAAGACCTTTATTTGGGAAAAGGATATCAGGACTCATTTTAATTATCAGATTTATAATCTCCCAAAAACCCCCCCCAATTCATATTTTCAAGATCTAAATTGAAATATTTCAAAATCAAGCTTTTCATCACAACACCTTTAAATCTCAGTTATCAACGATGAGATTTTCTTGATATTTTGATGGTGATTGTATGTTAAAAAAATAAATAAAAATATCATTAATAACTGAGATTTTGGGGCGTAGTCATGAAAAGCGGGATCTTGAATTTTTCTAGAGATTTCGAAAATATGAATTGGGGGATTTTTCATGGATGCTGATTCTGAATCTGATAAAAACATTCATTTAAAATGAGCCCTAATATCCTTTTTTCGAATAATGGCATTTTTTGTACCCCTCAACATTGCACGCCAATGGTTAATGAAACTGTTCACTCTGCTAAATACTTCATTGTTCTTGCATACAATCACCACTGAAATTTCAAGAGAATAGCATCATTAATAACTGAGATATCAGGATGTAATCATGAAAAGCGGGACACTGTATAATTGAGAATTTGTGATTTATTGAATAACTAATATTTCCTAAGTTCCCAAATCGTATTTCAACATATGACATATTATTATCTGCCCCTACTTACGAAATATTGACATCAGTTGTTATTTGTGGAGAATTTCTAACGGTTTAAAACCTTCCGTGGCCTTTTTGATGATTTTGGGACCTTTAAATCGACCGAAAAGCTATAAAAAATATGGAATTGACAGGTAGTTTAGTGATGATTCTATAAAAAAAATAGTCCACTCGTCTATTTTCATACAAAATAACTGCCAACAAAAAGTCTGGAGAAACGTTCCTAATATATTCGTGCAACCGGCAACATCTTTAGTTGATTGTCAGCTGTTTCCCAAGTTCCGAGTATGGCATGATATGGAAAGAAAACAAAGGCACTTAAATATTTATACGATGTTTATTGTTTACACATACCATCCAAATGAATTCCAACAGTTGGCTATGAGTGATTTTCGTATCAAGTGTTTCAAAAACAATAATTATTCAGATATCATTCCACAATATATGATGACCATAACCCGTATGTTGCAGTTCAAAAAATTAATGATCAGTGTTTTATTTTCAATAAAATTTTAATTTTGAACTTTATGTTGAAAACATTTTGCTCCATTTAATGGTACCTTGAAAGCTCTTCTGATAATGGGGGAGACCACTAATTTTTTAAAACGACATTATCGTGAACTCCATACTGAAAAACTACCAGTGAATCAATTTTGAATTTTTTCATTCATGCTAAGACGATGAAAAAAATAAATTAGAATATGTCCATTTCAAAACACACAATTCCTGCGCCATTTGAAATTTTGTCAATTCATTGGTGTGACTGGTGCGACGTCTTAGTCCCAACACGCCTATTGTCCTTGAACTGACAAATCACACTGCAACACTGCAGAATGACGAGGTATCAGAGAGAGATAGCTACAGTTCGGGACTAATACGTCACGGCTCCACCATCATATTTGGCTTTTTGAAATATCGAATGAAGTATGCTGATTTCAAAACGATATAGATTCGATTCCTTTCAACTTCAACTCATAATATTGATTGTACATAAAACGTAAATCATGATTTGTCAATTGAAAGAGGTTTGCACGGATTTCTTCCCTCAGTGGTCTTCCCCATTGTCTTATCATGTGGTTTAAGTATGTGGTTTTTCTCATTTCCAATCAGGATTTTGATCATCATAAATGTTTACCTCTCGTAAAATTCTTCAGAAATTCTTCAGAGTCGAATTTTGTTCGATTAAATATTTTGTTATGTACCTCAGGACAACTAATAAGTTTATTTTGAGTCTATTTTAAAAACTCCACAAACGATAAGATTTCCACAAAATTCTCAATCACAGGAAATGTTTCGCTAACAGAGTAGCTTCAACAGGTGAAATACTGGTACAATGAACTAAACTAACCTTGGCTTGCCTAACTTTTATATATCCTACTTTCCCAACCTGAAGGATTAGAATTACCTGAGGAGAGGTTCGATAAACCTTCATTTTCGGAAAATAGGCACAATATCTACATTAAAATACAGTGTACCGGATTAACTGGAAAGGATTGAGGTAATTACTAAGAAATCAAATTCAACAGTGGTGAACTATTGAGGTCTAGTTGATCGTTGAGTTCATTCCTTTATTTTCTACGTGTAGAATTTCGAAATTATCAAAACTATTGTTTTCTCCTAATATATGGTTGGCGTATGTTGAATTTGTTTTCTTTTTCAAAAAATTCATCCTATGTTCATGAATACGCTGATTAAACGTACGACCTGTCTGACCGATATATACCTTAGGACAAGATCCACAGTTGAGTTTGTATATCTAATATATAAAATTCTCCTGTCCCGGTCACAGTGTTAGTGGTCGAACTCTTCCGAAACGGCTCGACCGATTCGTATGAAATTTTTTGTGCGTATTCGGTAGGTATGAGAATCGGTCGTAATCTATTTTTTAAATCGAAAATTCAAGATGGCGGATCCAATATGGCGGACGAGTATTGATATCCAATTTCATTCAAAATTTTGAAATTCAAGATGGCGGATCCAATATGGCAGACGACTTTCGTAATTATGGTCAGATTCTATCAAAATTGGTAACTGGGGGTTTTCGAGGTCGGAGATTATGATTCCTTCGGCAAAATCAGAAAATTCAAAATGGCGGATCTAATATGACAGACCATCAGTTTCTAATTATGATCAGATTCTATTCAGAATTAGTATCTATGGGTTTCCAGACTCGGAGATAATGATTCTTTCATCAAAATTTGGAAATCCAAGATGGGAGATCCAATATGGCGAGCGAGTTTTGTGATTATGATGTGATTCCATTCAAAATTAGTATCTGGGGGATTTCGGGATTGCAAATTATGATTCTTTCATCAAAATTTGGAAATTCAAGATGGCGAATCCAATATGGCGGACGGGTGTTGTAATTATGATCCAACTCTATTCAAAATCAGTGTATGGGTGTTTTCGTGGTAGGAGATTATGATTCTTCCGTCAAAATTGAGAAATTTAAAATGGCGGAACCGATAAAGCGAACAAGTTTTGTTATTATGATCCAATAATTCTATTCAAGATTGGTATCTGGGATTTTCGGGGGCGGAAATTATGATTCCATCGTCAAAATTAGGAAATTAAAGATGGCAGATCCAATATGGCGGACAAGATTTGTAATTATAATACCATTCCATTCAAAATTTGTATCTGGGGGTTTTCGGGGTCGGAGATTATGATATTTTTCTTCAATATTGGGTAATTCAAGATGGCGGATCCAATATGGCAAACTAGCTCCGTAATGAATATTAGTTTGAAAAACTTATAATAAAACACGCTTTAATATAGCCGAACTCGAGGCCAAACTGAAATGAAGTAGAAAATTGATAGTATAGTTTGAAAAACTGAAAAGATAGACTGTCGAACTAATAAGAAGTAGAAAATAAATAGTAGTTTGAAGAACTAAAGGAACGCGATTTTATGGATAGTCAAACTAAAAAGAAGTAGAAAACAATGTAATAGAAGTGTGTTGATAAATATTCATCTAAGAAAATATTTTCTAGAAATAAATGTATATAGCAAAACAACGTTTGCCGGGTCAGCTAATAGTAGTTTGAAAAACTAATGAAACACACTTTTATGGATAGCCAAACTAAAAAAAAGTAGGAAATAAAATAACAAAAGATTGTTGATGAATATTTAACTAAAAAAATATTTTCTAGAAATAGTGTTTATGGCAAAACAACGTTTGCCGGGTCAGCTAGTATTATATAAAAGTTTGGCAAGCAAGCAAATTTAAGTCGAATTTGCTGACAGTTATGTTGTGCTATAAAACTTGTTCCAGTTTTTTCGCCATAAGCATAGTGAAAGGAGAAGATAGTGTGCTCAACAGAAAGCTCAAACTCGTCTTGTTCTGCGCATGACGTCAGCTGGGATCCTTGATATAACTGTCATTGTTATTATTTGTTTTCGTGATTGATGTCTCGAACTTCACATATTATTCAAGTACTAAAATTGAATGAAATAATTTCGAAATGCCTACTTGTTTCGTTTCTGGTTATGGAAATCCCAACTAACATACAAAAGGCACAGATATTGAATTTTTCTGATGCTTTTCCAAGAATGGAGACCTAATGAAACGATGGGAGCTTGCTGCCGACAGAATATAAACTCAAATTATGGTACCTACATTTTATTCCTTATATCTTCGTTCCAAAGTATTCACCTATCATATTATCATCACATTCATATTACAGCGCGTATTTCTTCAAAACATTTCCATCCAAAATGTTCCCAAACAAGTGCGAAAGTACGGTTCTTGAATTACACACCTCCAAAAAATCACAAATATTTGAAACAAGATGCCATTCCTACAGAACATCTTCCGAATATCAAGTCAGAAGTAATTGAAAATGAATTCAAAACTCTTAATTTCTCACAAAATATAAATTGCAGCAAAGATTTGAATAACAAAAATTGATACTCCTGTTGTCGATATCAGACTTGTCGGAGCAGAAGCTGCAGAAGCAACGTCAACGTCGTTAACTGCTGAATTTTAATCTGTCAGAATCGACACAGTAGTGGATCATTCAGATGGGATTGGCAATGCATGATAATTCGTATGTATTTGCTATGTGCGATTGCGAATTACCTCAAGATCACAATTTCCAGAATCCATGAAATAGTAAAATCGAAGGAATTGTTACCTGTTTATATAAATTGAATTATTTCTAAACAGATCGAGTAACTTATAGAAATTTCAATGAACATGATTGAAGTCATTGCGCACGCCAATGGCAACGGTATCTGTCTGTGACTAGCAGCTGATATTGGTATCCCAGATGACGTCACATAATATGCGCGTAGGCCCACCATCTTCTCCGTCCACTATGGCCATAAGCTATTTATGATGTAATTAATGAGTTGTTTTATCCGAATGATCCTCCTTATATGAATACCAAAGTATTGGTTTGTTTTATAAAGCTTTTTAAAATTGGTTGATGTGATAATTATTATTTCACTATAAAATGTATTTTTCCTGAACTTTTTAGAATCATGGTCAAACCAAACAAAAGTTGCAAACAACATCTGAACCCTCCAAGAAATCCAAATCGACCAAATCACACAAATCACCAAAATCACAAAAAAAGAAAAAATAGCCATATAGATGATTTTCTAAACTTTTACTTTTTTAATGTTAGTTTTAATCCAATTTTGTATTTTACATATTATATATGTTATTTCTAGTATTAAAATAATTTACCCAGCTAAGGCAGTTTTTTTTTCTTCCAGGCGGAAGATTCCACCCCTCAAAGAGATAACCTCAACAACAAGCTAGTGAACGAGTATAAACCTCTTGTCGAAATAGAAGAATACACGATTATATTGTACTATGCCTCAGAAGACGGTCATATTTCTGAAGAAATGGAGACTCTGGCAAAAAAATTCAACATCCTGCCCGAATTCAAAAAATCACCGAAACAGCTCGGAAAACCCATAAGGCATGAAATAAAAAATCACATTTTGTATGGCTGTGTAGTCAGAAAAAATGAGAAAGCATTGTTTGATTTTTCTGCCTTCGGGAGATGTCTTTTTGAGGTGAATAAGAATAATAGGAAGGATCAATATGAATATGTAGCATTGCAAGAATTGGAGGATAGCAAGGATGATTTATTGAATGAGAAAATCATAACTCTGCTCAGGTTTCATTTGAAACACGTCAACATTCATCTGTGTCGTGCTGGTGGAGACAGTCGAGAATCAGATGAAGCCCGGAGGAATTGAAAAAAAAAATAAAGTAAGAAAAATCACACAAGTTCAATGTACAGGGTGATCGGTTAAGGGTAGCGAGCGGCCATATCTCATAAGATATTGGTCGTATAGATTTGAGAAAAAAAAATCATGATAAAAGTCGCCAAGAGAAATTGCTGGAAATTATTTTCGAGTTTGTCAAACGTCCGGTAGAGGGCGTAACAACCAACACCAAGTAGTAAAATGGGATTTTTATAGAATTTTCTCTCATGAAAGTATGTCCATGAAATCATTTTCATATTAACTAACCATTTTCCTACATTTTTTGTCTAAAACGTTTTGTTCTATCTATCAAAATAAAGCGGTGGGGGAAGTTCAATTGTTTTTTTAAACCAACCAAAACTTCTCCCGTTTATTTCGACCGATTTTAGCAAACTCAGGGTAATATGAAAGAGCATAATTTGCCCTACAAAACGATTATTTGGTTTTGAATTTTTGACTTTTGCTGTCACCGCTAGATGGCGTTAACTGAAATGTTAGCAAATTTTTAAGTTTTTTAAATCAAATGTAATGGTATATACATTTTCATATGTTTTGAAAGAGGATACATTTCTCTAAAATTTAATGAAAATAATTTATCATCTACCTTTTTTTGAATCGTTGATATTGCCCATAATATAATTTTATTACATTAAAAACTGGCACGCCACTGTTTTTTATCAAAATGAAAATCAGTTTTGTAATCTCTTATTAGTTGCTAACAAAAATAACCTCCTGACTTTTTTTCGTTAGACAAACGGTTTTGGATTGAAAAAATAAAATAGGTTTACATACTGGTTCAAAATTATTTCAGATATGGGCGCCCCATGTAAACCTATTTTATTTTTTCAATCCAAAACCATTTTTCTAACGAAAAAAAATCAAGAGGTTCTTTTTGTTAGCAACTAGTAAGAAATTGAAAAATTGATTTTTATTTTGATAAAAAACTGGCGTGCCATTTTTTTATGTAATAGAATTATATTTTGGTCAATATCAAGTTCAAAAAAGGTAGATGATAAATTATCTTCATTGAATTATAGAGAAATTTATTCTCTTTCGAAACATATAAAAATTAATATACCATCAAACTGTTTTTTTGAAAAAAACTCAAAAATTTGCTAACATTTCAGTTAACGCCATCTAGCGGCGACAGCAAAAGTCAAAAATTCAAAACCAAATGAGCGTTTTGTAGGGCAAATTATGCTCTTTCATATGAGCCCAAGTTTGCTGAAACCGGTCGGAATAAACGGGAGAAATCTTGGTTTGTTTCAAAAACCAATTGAACTTTCCCCACCGCCTCATTTTGATAGATAGAACAAAACGTTTCAGACAAAAAATGTAGGGAAGTGGTCATTCAATATTAAAATGATATCATCGATATATTTTCATTGAAGAAAATTCTATAAAAATCCCATTTTTCTACTTAGTGATGGTTGTTACGCCCTCTAGCGGAGGTTTGACAAACTCGAAAATAATTTCCAGCAATTTCACTTGGCGACTTTTATCATTATTTTTTTTTTCTCAAATTATACGACTAATATCTCATGAGATATGGCCGCTCGCTACCCTTAACTGATCAACCTGTACATAGACCCATTAGAAATCTAATGTCTCTAAAATTACTACAACCATCATCTTTCACAGAATTTTCACTTCTTTCCATTTCACGTTCATTCTTCTGCTAATAAATTTCCACTATTTTAATACATCATTTCCAATTATATATAAAAAACAATTACATTCTACAGGGTACTAAAGATTATGTTGTATCTCTGCAATGCATCCTTATGAGTTATTAGTAAATTCCAAATCATTTAACGGAAACCCACAATTTATACATTTTTCAATGTCCAACTTCAGGATTTCAGAAATCAACTGCACGGTTCGGCTTTGAGCTCAGTTGTAATGAAGAATAATGATATTTTTTAAATCTTAGTAAAACCTTTTTTTTTTCCTCAGATTTTTTTTCAAATCGCGTATATGTTGATAATTCAAAAAAATCGTCTTTTCATCATTCAATGATCAATGTTGTTTAAATATTGTTAATATTACATAATATTAAAATGTATGTAAAACATTATTCAATTCTTACTTGGTGCCTTGCATATCATCCTTATGCAGTTATTTTGCTTGTTTTGAGAAACCTCATTATTTGAAGAAGTATTTGGATTTTTTGCCAGATTTTAATATTCAGTGTTTTTCTTCCTTAGATTTGAACTTTTCTATGTAATCTGCAGCTTAGGATTTCAATTTCAATGCAACAATGTACTTTTATTTTATTTGGTCTCTTGTGTTATTTTTCGTTAGTTTGCTTCATTTTATTCTTTGAGCTTATTATTATTTAGTGATTTACTTCCTTCCATAAATGAAGACACAATTGGATTTAGGGTTCATGTGTCACTTAGGGAAAATATCATTCAAAGTGTTGTAAGTCCCTTTTTTGGTGTCACAATGAAGACAAAATCCCAATTAGAACATGTTACACGATAAATATGTTGACAGTTTTGAAAACAACATTCTACTGTTCTCTGCTTTTTCCATTTTCAGGAATTCTTTTTATAGAAAATTTTTTCACATATTCAAACCAAGTGGTAAATTTCAGTCAACTTTTTGGTAACCAACTTCGAATTTGAAAAGAAAATTTCGAGGATTTCCAAGAAATGAAATATACTTATTCTAGTCCCAAATGTCTACAAAAGAGGCATATATACATAATTTGAATTATTAGTTTTTGTTGAGTAAATTCGGCGGACTACCATCAATATTCTTACCCATATAATGGCAGAAGAATTTTTGATATAATGTTTCAAAGTTGAAAACGTTATTTCTGGTGTTGAGCTGTCGGGAATTCGGTCGAAATGTTGAAGAAAACCAATTTTTAAATTGTCGACTTTTCGAAACTATTGTTTCATCTTCAGGACACTGAAGTAAAAACAAGAACATACATATCAAAATGATATTTTAAAATGAGGGGTTTTGATGAAAGCAAAATAAGTTATGTAAAATAACAATCGTTGAAAATAAAACACTTGATAGATACTTACATTTAGGGAGGCTTTCCGGGTTTAAAAATAGTGAAACCCGGAAAGCCACCCTAAATGTAAAAGTATCTATCAATGTTGTTTTTTGTTAAGTGTGAGAAGTGTTTTATATTCAACGATTGTTATTTTACATATTTTGCTTTTATCAAAACCCCTCAGTTTAAAATATCATTTCAATATGTATGTTCTTGTTTTTACTTCAGTGTCCTGAAGATGAAACAATAAAGTTTCGAAACGTCGACAATTTAAAAATTGTTTTTCTTCAACATTTCAACCGAATTCCCGCCAACTCAACACCAGAAATCATATTCAACGGTCGCCATTCTATTCAACTACACAGTTTTGAAAACTTTATAATTGTTCAAAATTCACTCACTCAACCTAATTTTTCGGAACCAAGTTCAATGTTGTAGGAATTAGAAAGATCATGAAGGATATTCATGATCATTAAAAATAATGTACAAGATCCTTCCACAACTTGTTACTTCCTCATCTAGTACAATAGAATATGACCTATCCCAAAAAATCTCACTTTTCGAGAAGGTAATAGTTCCTTTAGCCACTTGTGTCTTCAAATATGATTTACTTGAACATACTCCTTAAATTGAGTGAGTGTTTGAATCGGATGGAATCTGTAGAAAATGTAAAAAATTAATCAATCATTATGCAAAAACCTCAAATAATTCATGCTGGAAGTTGATGTTAATTCAACTTTTATCTTCTTCTAGGAATCGACTTACATGCATAAACACATTATCTTGAAATATTTAATACATTTTTGACAGATTTCATCTGATCCGATCTAATGATATACAGAGGGAGATGAATAAATCCAAAGAAATACCGTTAGTCCTCTACAATGATTTTTTTTTTATTTTATCACCTCAATTTTACACAAGGAATCCTCTCTTTAATTGACTTGGACTTATTCATTTACCCTGTATAAAGTTTTATGTTGGTGTCGATTCCTGTCTCTATGGGCGATCTTGTAGCAAGTAGAGTATAATATACAGGATGTGCCACAAGTCACGACTGGGTTCTGATAGCTATCTAATGACTTTCATTTTCAAACCTGCTCGGCGATAAAAAATGATAGAATTTTTTAGGAAGTATTCGGTCCAACAAGTATTTATCAATTTTGAGAGATCTTGAAAATTGATGGGACCGATTACTTCCAGAATAAGTCTATGGTTTTCGTTCAGTTGTTAACGCTTATATATGAAACTTCTCAATGTAGCTGACGACTAAAGAAAAACAGTTTGATAACACTTTTTAGCTATTTGAACACAGTCCTAACTAATGCCGACCTTGAAATATTAGGTCAAGGCCACACTTTTTCATATTTCATTTTCTCATGGAGTTTAAGTTAATCTAATGACTAGAATATGTACAGTCTAATGATGATTCTTTGTATTTTACCAAAGCATTTTTAGCTGCTTTTATATGTTGTTTTATTATTTGATTTTGAAAACGTAATCAAAATCGTTTGATAATTTTATGTTGCTTGATGTTCTTTATTGTGGGATAAACAAATGTTGATTTCCTTTTAATCAGAAATATATATTTGAGAAAATATAATTTCTTTAAATTTAATTCCCCTTTCCATCAGTAAAACTGATGATTGAAAGTCCTGAAATACTTCTAGATATTGGAAAAGTGGAAAAGAAATCAGTTACTAAGATGGTATTATTTTCACTCTTATATTTATAGAAGCATTTAAAAAAATATCCTGCACATTTTTTATAAATATAACTAAGGCCCTAATGGGTGGTTCACCCCTATAAATATGAAATTGGGGGTATATGTAGTGAGACATAAAATTGCATATAGACAGATTACACTATCCTGTTCATCAGGAAACGTTACCACAGTTAATTTTGTACATACTGTGTATTCCCAATTTGTGTAATCATAGCCGCGTTAAATTGTTGTTTATTTTAAATTTCATCTTTCACTTTTTTTTTTTCAAATGGTAAAATTGTGGAATGTAGCTCATTCAGTTAGGAAACCAAATATTTTAATATGACCTATTTAACTTTTAGCAAACAGGGCAGTAACTGTAAAGTACTATGGAAGTAATTTTGCAACTAAAATCCGCGTGCGATGTACGGAAAACATCTCCCGCTCTTATTTGCAGCGAAATGTCCGTGACATCAAGTACGCATTTCTGTGGAAGTTTTTGAGACAATAAATGTATCATTTTTAATCACATGGGGCACATTCATGCGAGGATTCTCTATTCTATTCCATTTGATATGATGACTTTCTCGAATAGACTTCGTCGCGATGTTACTCGATGACGATCTTTTCAACTAGAAATTCAACACATTTTGTGGTAATGACGTTGTAGTTGTTTATTATTATCTTGAAATAATTATCACTGCATCTAAGATTTTTTTTAACAAAGCAAAGTCTCAAAGTAACCACGTTCAGAACAAATATGCCTAATCAAAATGAAAACATATTTCCATTTGCAATTTGGGACTTCGCGAAACTGCCATGTGATGTAACGTGTTTGTTGGGCTCATAGTATAATCAGTTATAAATGAAGTAGATGGTATAGGTAGCAGAACCCGGTTTACACTAGTTTTTTAGTACAAATGCAAATATCTGAGAATGATTGCAAGAAACGACACTCACGGTGGAACCATACACGAAACATTGATGACTTCTAGCGTCTAGCTCAATAAATGAAACATCCAATAGGTTAAAATCAAGGTATTCAAAAATCTTGAAAATACACCCTGAAAAAAACTGTTTATACAGGGTATGTCATGACGAGCTTACACTATCTTTATATCGAGAATCAGTCCGGAGAAATCCATGAAAATGTGCATGCTTATATTTTAGAATACCCTCTTATTTAAAATATATTCGACAATGCAGTGTTGCCGCTTCTACTAGAAAGTAGTAGCAACATTGATATTTCAAATGGAACACCCTGTATTCTATCGCATTTTCAGATTTTCCCTGACGAGCTGATTTCATCGATACATCACACTTGGGCTCTATCCAAAAAGATTTGAGAGATATAGGGTGTTCAAAATCGAGATTTTTCAACTTTAGGATTTTTCCGTGTCAAAACTATTCATTATCGGTCAAAACGACTCACATGTCCCTATCTCAACTTCTGATTCACTATTAACTGATATTTAATCGGAACAGATACAGGGTGGTTCAAGATTAGAATTCTGATCACCCTGTATCTGTTCCGATTAAATATCAGTAAATAGTGAATCAAGAGTTGAGATAGGGACATGTACGCCGGTCTGGCCGATAATGAATAGTTTCGACACAAACAAATCCTAAACTTGAAAAATCTCGATTTTGAACACCCTATATCTCTGTCATCATTTCCGATAGACCCCAAGTGTGATGTATCGATCAAATCAGCTCTTCAGGTAGAATCTTAAAATGCGATAAAATAAAACAAAGTTGTTGCAACTTTTTTATAGACGCAGCAACACTGCATTGCTGAAAATATTTTATATATTATATATATTAAAATATAAGGATGCATTTCTTCATGGGTTTCTCTCGACTGATTCTCGATATAGAGATAGTGTAAACTCGTCGTGACATACCCTGTATAAATAACTGAACGTCACATTGTTACACAAAATATGTAATTTCAATCAATAATAAAAGGCGTTTCATTTATTGACTATTTAAACTGAATCAGAAGATGTGTGATCTGTCAAACTAAGCAAATATGCGTCTTGTACAATATGCCTCAAATTTCATATCATAGAAAACTAAAAAGTTTAGGGGCAGGCCACACTCCCCTGGGACATCCAGTATAAAAAGAAAAAACAAATTCACAAAGTCGGTCGACCACAAATTAATTTGTGGTCGACCGACTTTGTGAATTTGTTTTTTCTTTGAAAAAATCTGGACCACTTTGAGAAGGATGGATGGTTTCCATGACATCCAGTATAATTACACGAAAACTATACACTTATATCTAAAACTGATTCCCACTGGAATCCCTCTGTTTCTGGCAGTCTTATAATATTACTTTGAAGAATTGGCAGTAGTTTTTTGAAAGTTGAATATTCTGCTATGGTTTGAACGTCTCCTATTATGATTAACTTATGCTTGGACCTCGTGATGGCCACTGTAATTCTTTGGTGGTCCTCTAATAATTCAAACTGAAAACGGGACAAAAATATATTAGGTAGGGCTAGGGTCCATTGATGTAAATTGACGTATTTGTCATCTCAACACTGTACGAATAGATCCTCGTCTCCTCTCACTCTAAAGTGTTTGTGAAACAGTTATATTATAGTCCCATCTTTATTCATTTCTGGGGATAAACACTAGATTTCTGACATTTGTTGTTTTTTAGGTTAGATTGAGGACATTGGCGTATCATACGTAATTTCCACAGGAAAGTAGTTGTTTTTCTCTCGTTATTTTCCATTTTCGTTGTTCGTTGCGACCTAGAAGATCTATCGTGATTACCCCTATCTAGTTTTGGCCCTCTAACCCATCTGATGAAGCCTACGATTTTCCTGACGGTTGAATTTTCCACTTCAGCAGGGGTGAGATAGACCTGTTCTAGATGGTTCAGCCTTTGGCGGACTAATACTTCACATGAACAAAGTATGTGTTCCGCGGTTTCGGTCGCATTGTTACAAAAGCGGCAAGTGTCAGTCTCCGCCAGGCCCATCTTTTTGAGGTGGTACCTCAGAGGGCCGTGTTCTGTGAGAAAGCCTGCAATAAGCTTTAGCTCTGGTTTGCTGAGGCTGAGTAGCTCTTTGGCTCGGTTCTGCGAATGGTTGATGAAGCTTTTCGCTTGTCGTTGACCTGGAGTTGCTCTCCAGTAGGAGGACGTTTCAATGTCTTCCCATTTCCTGAGTTCTTCCTTTAGGTGACATTTGCTTATCCCACAAAAAGGCTCAGGACCAAAAAGTGCAGATGCTGCACCTTTTTTTGCAAGGCAATCAGCTGCCTCATTTCCTTTGTTTCCTTCATGCCCTGGAACCCACATAAGTGTGACTTTGTTGTCCTTTCCCATTTGCATGAGTGTTTCAAAGTAGTCCCATGTAATCTTTGATGTGAAAACGAATGATTTTAGTGCTTTTAGTGCGGCTTGGCTGTCTGAGCAGATATATATGTTGGCACCCCTCAGACCTTTGCTCAGACACCTTTGGGCGCAAAGGTTGATGGCATGTATTTCAGCTTGAAAGATAGTGGGGGAGTGACCTAAGGCTTCAAATAGCTTACATCCGGGTCCATATACACCCGCGCCTACCCCTTCTTCCATTTTCGAACCATCGGTGTACCAAACAAGTTACCCTCTGTCCAGCTGAGGCTCAGCGGAACCGTACCTAGGGCGGCTTTTTATAACCACTTCAAAGGTATGATCGAAACTGAGCCTGGCTGGCATTATGGCCGATGGTTTGGTTGCAGATTCCATTTGTACTTCTTGTAGAATGACCATGTGACCAGTGACATCACCTGGTCTGGCCAATTCAGTGGAGTTCAGTCTGTATGCACTGAGAGCTGCAGTCCTCTTGATAAAAATATGCAAGGGTAGTAGGTCAAGCAAGGCTTCTACCATTTTCGTTAATTTTATGAAATATTGTGGTAATGCCTGAGTTTCTCTCTATTTGTAACCGTTGCATTCCATTTTGAGTATTTGGCTTTTTTCTAGTTGACAAATACGTCAGTTTGCATCAAGGGACCCTAGGTATAGGGCTACACTCAGTTGTCAGTTGGGTTATCTTGAAAATGTTGATAATCTATATTTTCGGACACCTTTTACAATTGAACTGGTGATAAGACAATACAAACAAAAGAAGAAAGCTAATGAAAATGGCCAAACATACCTTATTTATTACCCTATGTTTGGAGGTGTCTCTTGATTTGGCACATGAATAAATGATGACACTTTTATCTTTCCCTTGGAACTGATCTACAGTGCTGACATCTAAATGTTCACATTGTATCAGGGCTGAAATTTGAGCTACTTGTCTTCTGTATGTAGCTATCACTCCGATTTCAGTCGCTGGGACTCCTGCCTAGAATTATTAACAAAATATCGGACCGTTCGGAATATACCGGGTGATTTTGAAATACTCTGCTGATACTATCCCGTAAGTTTGCATTGTAATGATTTTTGATTCAACTGAACGCTTTTAAAATACCTATCATATTAATTTATTCATTTATTTATTTATTGAAAATGTGACTTCCAGTCAGAATCAAGTTCTGGTATAAGGAAGTATAGTCAATAATAATACCTATATAATTATAATAAACTCATGAATGATATAATATTTGAATACATTAAGTATTAAATTTTGACAAATCATTTCATATTTGTGAGCAACAATCTATTTGAATATGAATCAGAAGTCGGACAAAAAAATCATCTATTTCGATCAGAAATGATAAATTTTTCAAGTTGGTATTTGAATTTCATTGTATTTATGCAATTTTTTATATCATCTGGTAATTTGTTATATTCAAAAAGAGCAGCGTGGGTGAATCTTGTTTGGCCTATACAAGAATTAGCGATATCAAGATGAAATAAACCATGTTGTCTAGTTTGGTAATGAATTTCATGGTTTGGTGTTAAAATAAAATTGTATTTCAATCTTTTATTTATGATATTGTATGTAATTTTCATATTTTCAATTTTGAACAATTCTTCTAATGAGAATGATTCAGTTATTTTATATAATTGATTTGTTGGTGTATCATATGGTAAAACGATACAGTACTTTCAATATATTTTTATATAATGCAGATATTTTATTAAAATGAATTCCAACATCTATACTTCTCTTTCAAATGTCACAATCCAGTTTTGTTCAAATCAGTTACATTTTGAGAGCAAAGAAACACGGCAACGCTGTTTATCCCACTATTCTGGATTATTACCAGTCCCGCCTTATATTGCAAACGAGAACATTTCATTGTGGGAATAAAAAAATCAATGAAATTTCCTATGCATTTTCTCATCAAGATGAACTTCATGGTACTAGAATATGTATGAGTATTTCTAAATCACCCTATTAGGTTCGAAAAGATAAATTAGGTCAACGGTTGACATATTTGCATCTTTCATTAAACCCCTCTTACTTTCAGTAAAGTTTGGACGAGTTTGAGTGTGACGGCCGTTTCATAGATATTTACGCAATGGTCATTGTCATTCTGACCACTGGAATCATTTTTACTTATCATCCAGGGAACGTTGTGCTCTAGATTCCAGACGGGGCCAGTGTCTAAAAATTGTACGGAGTTTTCTAGAGAGCTATCGAGCGCCGAAGAAATCCAATTTTGACAACTTGTGAAAATCTGTAAAAAGAGAAATGCATTGATTATTTTCCAATCATGAGAAATCACAAATTTCACAAATGGGATTAAGAAATTAGTAGAAAACACAGTATAAACTACAGATTTTACAATAGCTTTTGATCCTAATTCAGAATAAAAAAAATTTAGGAATTAAAACTAAATTCGACCCCTTTTTTCACCCAAAGGTCTACACTGTAGCAAATCTGACGTCACCTCTGTTCAAATTTCCATGCGGTAGGCACAATCACAGGGAGTTCAACCATTTGAATTGTTTTAAAGTGGCGTACATGGTTTTTTTTTTTCGTATTCTGTTCAATTTTTGGGATGAAATTTCTCGTTAATTGAAAGAATTTGAAAAAATCTGATATCATGGGAATATTCCTTAGACTGTATCATATTAATTGCTGAAAATGTGCACTTATTTCGAAAACACCTTGTATAGTGACATTTTTAGAATTTATCTCCATTTATGTAGTGAGATAATTCGACAAAAATCTAGAGAAATTCACAGAACATTAAGTCCTGTACATGTGAAATTGGTAATAAAATTTCAGAATCAGAAAAATACGGGTTATAACTGATGCTATTGAATCAAGTACCTACCTATCAGAAGTATCAGTAGATCAGGATCAGTAGATCGCATACTATAGAATATAACTAATCATAAGAGTTCATATTGTACCTCTTTGTTTGTGTACTTCAAGGTTGCATTAGCAACCATTTCATTCCCAATTAAGAGTTCCCCATTATAGGTCAATCCGTTAGCAACTTCTGTGATCCTCCTGTTCATACGGTAGTTCAAATTCAACGAGGTCACTGCATTTTCTTGGTATAGTCGCTCGAAAAGGCTCTCTGACATACCCATTTCTCTAAAATATCAGAAAATCAAAAATTTTTCCTAGCACCCATTTTTAGAGAAATTTTAGTTAGGTATCAGGTATCGATATTTTAAATAGTGTAGTAGTGTAGTAGATATGCGATAAAAAATGGTCTCAGATGGAAATAATTTCCACAAAATTTTTCTTTGCTTTCCTCAGTTTAGAATGCATAGAATAACACATATGAAAAAATATAGAATGATACCTTTGTGCACAATAAAAATACAGTGTTTCCAATATTCGTTTATTCGTTAATACGTTCAAATCATAAACCTAATAAAAATGGCATATTTGGCATGTAGCAGAAGTTCATTCATTATCTTCAACTACCTCAAACAATTATTGTACAATACTGTGCAAAAAATTCCGTATCGTCTTCATTTACATCTGGTTCCACAAGGTTCATCTACTTCAGTTTTGCAAGTACTTCCGTACGTCATCATATGATACAGAAAACCCAAGCTTATGAAGTTCATCGACAAGTAACCGAGATCGGAAATCTCGATGATACTGCACACCAACACCTAGATGAATTGAACTTATGATAGATCGTGGCCTTGCAGCTTGCATTAGTGCCTGTTCAATTGAATTTTTCTTCAAACTTGAGGATTTTTTGTTGATTATTATATCCAAGAATGTTTTCAAAATGTCGGGTAAAAGCTTATTATTTTCCTGCTCGGAACTTATTTCTTCTGGTGAAGGATAAAACCGTTGATTAAAACTCAACTTGATTGAATTCTTAATCAGTTTAGCTGTTGCTTCAACTATCCGACATTTTTCAGCATTAGGATCTTTTGAACACTTTTGTCGCTGATAATCACAAATTATATTGGCAACTGTTTTCCCTGTTACGATAATACCTACCTGTTTGTCTCAATATCATAATGTCATCCGAGAAATATTTTTTATGCATACGACGAACAGTGTAAGGTTCGATATTTTCTGGCAGCAGCTCTGCCATTTTGTCCAGCAACTCCTGAACTGAAATTGGTTCATCATTTTTCTTGAGCCACCTGCATATTTATAAAAAGGCATTTTCTTTATTTTTATCAGAAGGGCGTCCTGCTAACTTTGTCTGTTTATTGGAAATATCATGTTGATGTTTCTTAGGAATAGAGTAGTCTTTTCCAAAATTCACACTACATTTCTGATTATACAGAGCATCTGCTGCTGGCAAGTATCGATAACGGAAAGAAGACGTGCAAGGACATTTGATGATCAAAAATCGTTTCTTGCATCACACACATCAATAATAGTTTGTCGAAACGCGAAAGTTCGTACTGGTAAAATTGCAGATTTAATTATTTTCTCAGTTCCCTTAATGAATTGGCCACAAAACAAGTAATTATCTTTGAACGCGAATGTCGGCAAAGCAGATCACAAATCTCTATTGCTGCTGCTGCTGCTACTACTAGTTGATGTTTCTCTATCAGGATCTGATTCAAACCTGAGATCATTCTTCATCTTGTTCGGATTTACGTACAAACGACGACATTCGACGTGAACAATTAGAGGATGAATAGGCACTGGTTCCAAGAGTTCAATTATTTTGTCTTGCTCCTACTTGCTAGCACTTATAATTCCTTGGACACCTTTAGCAGTCAATTTAACACAATTCGAACTATCATCAGAACTTAACGAAAATAACAAACATTTGTTATCTTCCATCGCTGCTTTTAATTCACTATATTCAGATATACCTGGAATGATATATCAAATAATGGAACCTTTCATTCACGATCACAGAGAATAGTTTCAATCACATACCAAAATGATTGTTTCACACCTCGACACGAATTTTGAGATCTGCTAACATTGCTAGGAAGATTATGAAATTCGTTTGAATCTTATCCTGAAGATCCTAACATAGGTAGCGGAGCATGTGTTGAGTTGTGAAACAATCATTTCGGTTTGGGCACCAGAAATATGAAAAGTTATTATTAAAACATTTTTGCATGAAAGAATGCATCTATATTTTTAATATAGTATAAGGGGTCGAATGAGGCTTCAGAATATGAAAACTGCGTTTTTGTGGAAATTATTTCCACCCCAATTCCTCCAACTGCTCTACTAAAACGTTTATTACAAAATAAAGATTCGTTTCTCTTTTGAAATTTCATCTCTCTAGAGAGTTTATGGAATGTCACTTTTCATAAATTACTTTTTTCAAACGAGAAAAAAAGTGAGAACTTTCTTCCCGGATATGAGTGCCCGTAATTCGATCTCCACCATGGGGATATAAGATGTAAGATATACGAGGTCGATTAAATTATTAGGGTGAAGACACACGGAGCGGTTTTTGCCGACTCGGCAGCCGAATGCATGAAGACACACGGGTCGTTGCTGAAGCAACACGCAAAACGAAAACAATGTGGTGTTGTCAGTTCCTGTTCAAATGAGCGTGTACACCTTAGTTGAACTTTTAACTCAAACCATGTTTATAATGATCCTTTTATACATAAATAATGATTGACGACATAATTCGATCGAAAAATTAACTGGAATGTTTTATTTTTGTACATAAATAATAGTACCTTCTGAAAACGGACCCTCTTATGACGTAGAAACCTCATCTCGCCATAGTAAAATAAAAATACCAAAGGCCCGACGGAGACTGAGGCAACTGATATATCAATTCTTTCAACTGTGATCTCGCGCTAATTCACTCTGTCAGAAATCATGTATCATTCATCTCTGTCTGGAATAGTCTTGTTTCAGTATTAGGGTTTTGACGTCACATCATCGCCTCGTTTTCAGAGATCCGAAAAATCGGGGATTTCAATAATTTTTTATTAAACGTAGGGAGCTCACAGCAAGAAACGGTTTGCGGTCTGCTTCTGAGGAGGAATTTTCAACATTAGTGGGACTAATTTATTGTGTTCGAAGGAAAAAGAAACAGGTGTATGTGGGTACACCCAATTGTCAAGGAAAGAAACTGAGAAAAGTTTGTTTTATACTTTATTTAATGATGAAATCAAAAGAGATGACGAAAAATTCTTCAATTTTGTGCGAATGTCAAAAGATTCGTATTGTGAACTTCTGACTCTGATAAAGAATCAAATAACTAAGCAGGATACGGCAATGGGTAGGAGTATTTCACCAGAAGAAAAACTATAGTGATAACGCTGAGGTAAGAGAAACTCAATTTTTCATTTTCATTATCATAATGCATGAACGTTACATACTTTGAAATTCATTGTCTCTAGCATCTTTGGGTTCTATATAAGACTGTACTGATTCTAAGGGACATACCAAAGGTGTTGATGTTGTTTCGCGTGGAAGTTGTGAAAATGTCATCAATTGATGACAGCCATCATGGATCGGTCAACTTGACAACAATGTTTGTGTTGCACCGCGTGTGTTCAATCGCACTTGACAAAATGGCCTGAGTAGCCGCTCAAAGCAATAAAAACGCGTTCGGCATGTCATCCAGACGACCGTACGCGCGGCAGCAGCGCTGCTCAATGTTGCGTTTTTTTTGTTCCATAAAGACACGACACCTCGTGTGCCGACTCGGCAACCGACTCGGCCGCCGAGTCGACGAAAACCGCTCCGTGTGTCTTCACCCTTAGGTCAAAGTTGCGCATTTCCATGCTGAACATTTATCTGCAAGAAAATTCGATGTGTCATTTTTCAGTTTTTGAATTATTTGAAGAAAACGAAACTTTGAAATTTTCGTTTTCATTTTTTCAAGCGAAAACCAAATGACCTAGACGATTCTGAGTAGGACATTCTTGAGGCACTTTTTCACAAGGAATTTATTATAATATTGATGAGCTGAGAAGAACCATAATCACCACTTTCAGGACTAAGATAAGAAGACGGGACATCCCGTGAGCAATTATTCAGAATCTGAGGAAATGCGTAGAATTGTTTTATATCATTGTATTGAAAAAAAATGACTAAAAAAATGCAAAAATCCAATATGGCGCCAATAAGAAACAAAGGTGTGTGTTGTAACTTTGGCATCAAGAACATCATAGAAAATACAATGACAGACTCAGATTCTTTGTAAAAAAGTGCCTTAAGAATGCCCCAGTCAGAAAAGTCTAGGTCTTTTGGTTGGTAAATTACTAAACAACCACGAAATTCGAAATTTTTTAAAATCAAATCACAGAATTAGACTGATAGATATTTGATTACTTCGCAAGAATGATAAAGATGCCTGCAAGGCAGTAGTCTTTTCTGTTAAAAACAAATTTCACGTTGATAATTTTCTGATTTCAATATCACAACAACCTGGAGCTATTACTTTTTTCCCTTCTGTAATAAATAACTATTTTTAAAGATCTTATTGTACGTCGGTTGTTTTTATTATTGAAAAGTTTTTATTTCTTTTGCTTGTCAGACATCTAATAGTTGACCATCAGGCAACAAAAAAAAACGAGGTAGAATTTTCCATAATAATTGCGTGGGTACATTTTTCGAATTTTTATTACAATGTTTTCTCTGATGTTATCAAAGCAGTTTTGGAATCCCATCAAGTCCAAATCAATCTACATTCAGAGTGATTAACGGGATACACCCCAAAATTGCTCTATATCGTCCGATTTTGAAAAACTTCATTGGAGTGCATGAAAAACTGCAGACAGACAACTTTTTGAACGAAAATCGCCTACTACATGAATTTTTTGATACGAAAATTGAAAAAAGGTATAGTGATGTATAGTTTATCCAAAAACAATTGCAGAATCTTGTGCCGCACCTGCAGTCACTTCAAAGGAAACTTCAAACACGCCTACGCCGCACAGTGTGGGATATTCTGCAATTGATATTGCAAACTGCAAGAATGTTATAATGGCTTATATTTTAATATGCTGTATGTAATGAGTCAGCACCCATTCCCTAATTCAGAAAGTGGATCAACTGACAGTAGTCCTCTTTGAAATATCAAATTTTCACATGCACTACAAGTGTTTTGTAATAGTCGAAAATTGTCCCTAAAATAGTCAAAGTGCGGATATCGATCATCTGCAAGAATTTTCGCAAATAAATACGTTGTTGGTGTCGTCAAAATGAAGCCATACACGAAGTGATAATCATTTTTGAAAGTCGTTTCAGTCCGTGGACTAAAACGACTATGTTGCATTTTCTTACTTAGCTTCTTTGCTTATAACTACAGCTGGTAATTGGTCAGGATCTCCTATCAAAACAAAGGTTTTTGCTGCATGTAGAGGTCTTATCACTGAACTCTGCAATACCTGAGTGCTCTCGTCAACTATGCAAATATCAAAGCTTCTTTTTGTTAGCAATGGATGACCTGAACCCAGACAGGTTACAGCTACAATTTGCTGAAACACAAACCATCCTCAAAGAATAAATAAAGGGTCTGTCAACAAGGACCGGTCAATGTTGTAATTGAATAAAACAAGCTCTGTGTGAGATATTAACGCTTTTTTTATTTTATTCGAAAGGCCCATTTATGCCATTATTTATGGAATATGACATCGTTCAAATGTCCGCCGCGGCTTCGAACGGTGGCACGGATCCGAGAGGTCCAATTTTCAATTACTCTGCTGCATAAATCCGCCTGAATCTGAGCAATTGCTTGCGTTATGTGCACTTGCAGGGCATTGGTCGATTGCGGCTTATTAACATAGCCCTACGACTTCAGAAAACCCCACAAGAAAAAGTCTAGTGGAGTCAAATCGCACGATCTTGGCGGCCAATTCACATCACCTCTGCGAGAGATAACCCTACCCTCAAACCGTTCGTGCAGAATGTCCATTGTATCGTTCGCTGTGTGGCACGTTGCGCCGTCTTGTTGGTACCACATGTCGTCCACGTCCATATCGTTCAACTCAGGCCAAAAGAAATTGTTAATCATTGTTCTGTAGCGCTCGCCGTTGACGGTGATGGCCTCGCCAACGTCATTTTCAAAGAAGTACGGACCAATGACGCCGCCGGACCAAAATCCGCACCAAACAGTAATTCTTTGTGGATGCATTGCCACCTGGTGAACCTTGTGTGGGTTGGCCAACATCGGGGTACTCTTCCAAACGTTCCGAAGCCCACTGAGCGAACAAACGGCGTTGCCTATGGTCATTAACTTTGAGGCTGGGTCAGTTGGATCTTGTACGGGTGCAGGCCCAAGTCCCGGCGCAAAATTCTCCAAGTCGAAGTCTGCGAAAGGTCGAGTTCTTGTGCACGGCAGAAATCGACTGCCTCGGAGTCTCCTGCACACTGTGACGGAGAGCGTCGATATCATCAGCCAATCTGCCGTTCCTTTGACGTAAGGTTGTTGGTTGTTTGTTTACCGAACCGGTTGTCTCGATTTTGGCTAGCAAACAACAAACAAAGGATAGTCGACTTTGAAGGGCCGCCGCGTCTGCCGTGAAATGAGCACAATGCGCGCAACTTTTGCACTAACGAACACTCATTTTGATGATAAAGTTTAATCATTTGGACATGCTGCTCGATCGTGTAACTTGCCAAGGTAAGTCGGCATCAGTGACTGAATACAATACAACAGATTTGACAGATGCCGCCAAAAAAACATGGCCACCACACACACTGTCAACATCGACCGGTCCTTGTTGAAAGACCCTTCAGATGGGAAATATAGGGTCACGGTAAAATACTGTTCACAGATCGATCGAAACTAACTCACCATGCTGTTATAGACTTTTTCAAGTTCTTCTGGGGTGTTACAATGTTTTGTAAGTGAATTTTCTGAACAGGCCCTCAATTTAGGGTGCATTCGTGATTCGGAACCCAATTTCATTAATTTCACTCCGCAATCCAACAATTTGATGCAAACATTATCGACAGCTGAATGAGTATGACTGGTAATGAGGACACTTTTGTCCATTTCATAAAGCAGTTGGATCAAGGCCACTATTGTAGCTGTCTTCCCTTAAAAAAATATGACAAGTTTTTGTTATTGTGCTCTGGTTTGTTGTTAGACAATCCATATTTCACAGCCACTATCAAATATTTTGTTTTCCAGCAGAAAAATCATCAGAAAATTTACAAGATTCATTTTGAATCTATGATTTGTAATAGAAACAAGTAAGAACAACTTTTACTATATATAAGGAATTCCTCAAGGTTCTATCCTGAGACCGCTTTAGAACTCATTCATTACATGAAATCAAATTTTCATTTACTACAAAATGGAAATTCATAGAATCAGTAATGGAGGGCATATCTGCAAACTGCAAAGTGACTTATTCATAAATGAATGACATTTTGAGTGGAACTCAACATAATAAAATTTTATAGAATCAGTAGTGGCCGAAAACAACCAAGAGTAAAAAAATCTATCAATGGTATTTTTACCTGTTCCTGGCATTCCCTTGATAAGAAAATACTCATTTGCAGCAATGGCTCTCAAAACTGCTCTTTGCTGCACAATATTCAATTTCCTCAATATTTCCTTCCCCTTAGTTCCGATCGACTTCGGCAATGCCTTTTTGAATGTTGGCGGCTTCTTGTCAATTATTATACTTCTCAGTTCTTCACCTCTTTGTGAAATATCCAACAATAATGTGAGACTAGCTAGATTATATGATTGTATGGAGCTTGAGTCATAACTGTCTATGTGAAATGTCTTGTTTGAGTATTTTTTGTTCAAATTCCTGAAAACAGGGTGAAGAACATCAATTTATGACAAAAAATCGAGATCTAGGTACCTATGTGTGATTAGTCAATAATATTGATATTGTCCCATGAAATTCAAGTTACTGGTATATGGAGGGATGATTTTAAATTAGATTGAGGTAGGAATTCGATGTTTTACCTGTCTAAAGTTACTGAAATTGTAGTAGCAGTGATATTAGTAACGAATCCAGTTGCTACTGCAGGCCTACTATTGGTACTTATAACGACATAGTTGCTTTCTACAATGCCGTTAGAAAAAAAATTGCAGGTAAAGTCAGCATTGATTCTTTCAAAAGAATGTTCAAACACACCATCACATTCATCTGCTATGTGGGTAATTTTCAAATTGATAATACATTTCCCATTAATTTCCCTGCAACAAAGAACAGTATGAAAACTGAGAAACAACCTCGCCAGTAACAAGATATTGGAAATCCTAGTATGTGACGACAGTATATATGAGCACGTATTTCAAAATGGGGAAGACCACTGATTTTTTAAAACGACATTATCGTGAACTCTATACTGAAAAACTACCAGTGAATTAATTTTGAATTTTTCCATTCATGCTAAGACGATGAAAAAAATAAATTAGTATATGTCCATTTCAAAACACACAATTCCTGCGCCATTTGAAATTTCATCAATTCATTGGTGTGACTGGTGCGACGTCTTAGTCCCAACACGCCTATTGTCCTTGAACTGACGAATTACACTGCAACACTGCAGAATGACGAGGTATCAGAGAGAGATAGCTACAGTTCGGGACTAATACGTCACGACTCCACCATCATATTTGGCTGTTTGAAATATCGAATGAAATATGCTGATTTCAAAACGATATAGATTCGATTCCCTTCAACTTCAACTCATAATATTGATTTTTCCCTCTCTTCCCCATTGTCTTCAATCACAAGAATCTACCTAGACTGAATATCCATAGATAGACAACGCGATTGAAATTTGAAAATATACAGCATGTCTACATAAATTGGCTACATATGGAAAACTTTTTTGTTAAAAAAAATATTCCTCAAACAGTTTTGCATGGCCAAAAACCGAAAAAGCATTGGGAATTTCATATTTTATACCCCCATTTCTAATTAGAATTACACTTTTTCAGTTAAATGACAGAAAAATCTATTATTTGGCGTTCTTGGAAATCTTTTTTCATCACATGTATGGAATACCTAATCTAAAACAATGTGTATTCTTCCATCACAGAAAATCTGGTATTTCTGGATTTCTCACATATTCAAAATGAACTAAAAAAGCATATCAACCCCACTTCATATTCTGTACCCCTGTATAAAACTTGAAAGCTATTCTTGTTTTTGTATAATCATAGATTTTTTGTGATTTTCATTGAAACTGGGGTAGTTTTGAAGTTGAATATAAGGAGAGTACAAAATGTACACCTGAATAATAACTCTAAATCTGAACTCAGAAATGTGCATCATAGAGTCCCTCAAGGATCCGTTCTGGGGCCACTGCTCTTCATCATATACATTAATGACCTCTGCTATCATATGATGAAGAAGTGTCAAGTTGTCCTTTTTGCAGATGATACAACCTTGATTAGTTCAAACACTAATATTTCACTTCTACTAGATCAAGCAGAATCTTTAATGACCGAAGCTGAGGCTTGGTTTTCTGCGAATAATTTACAACTGAATAGAGAAAAAACTCAGAATCTCATGATTTCCAGCAATAGTCAAGTCACGGCAGGGAACCATTGTAAATTGCTTGGAATTATTTTAGATGACTCTCTGAATTGGTCACATCAGGTGGATTCCCTTAGTACCCGGCTAACCAGTGTTTTATTTCTGCTGAGACAACTCAGACAATGCTTACATCAGACGATGTTGAAACATATATATTTCGACCTTTTTCACTCTTTGGGGTAACTCAGTTGAAGCTATGAAAATTTTTAGGTTACAAAAACGAGCAATAAGATAAACAGCAGGGGTTGGTTATAGAGAGCACTGCCAACCTTTATTCAAGCAGTTAGGAATCTTACCTCTTCCATGTATTTACATCTTTCACAATTTGAGAAAAAATCATTCCAGAAGGCTGATGAGTATTCCAAAAGTTTCTAGCCTTCATCATCACAACACAAGGTCTGCTGATGCAAATGATTTACTTGTGCCTCGCTATAGATTAGTCAAAACTGAGAAAAATTCGTTGAACTTTAAGCTTTTACAATAAATTACCAAGTCAGGTCAAATCTATGAATGAAATATGCTTCAGAACTACTGTGAAGAAACACCTTCTCAGATTATTTTTATTCGGTTGATGAATTTAATCAAACTTCAATTTTATGAATTTTATGTACTTGTGATACGATCGAGGATGCTATCTTGTAATGTTATGTTTGTTTTATCTTTGTATTCTTTTCAATGTGTATTTCAACGTTCTGTTCGTTTGTCTTTATATAATATTTCAATACATGTGTGCTTTTAAACTGGCTTGCTTTTAAACTGACTTGCTTTAAACCATTTTTGTATGAGTTACATAGTCAAATAAATCTATCTATCTATCTATTGAAGGAGGAATCATATATTTTCATGCACGACCGGACGTAAAGTAGCACTTTAGCGCCCTATGGCCTACTTTACGACCTTGATACATAAATACCTATTGTGTGATTCTTACTTGAAATAAAAGAGTAGTTTATTTATATAGGGAACCATTGAATGCAAGGGGGGCATATGCTTTAACAGCTCATTTTAAACATGTGAAAAATAATTTCCAGAAGCGCCAAATTATCGTTTCTCTTATGTCAAATATTTCTTTCCCGGGCAGCCAATGTTTCTTTATTTATACTGGTAGAAACTCACCTTTCTTGAGGAGTGAGAGTATATATCTGCCTTACATCTTTAGCCTGTTTGTCAGAATTGGCTTCCAAAGCTAACAAAGTTACCCATTTCATGATGTAGTTCAAATGTGACTCAGTGATATGCTCTAAAGCCTCGTCTTGTATGTTCTTCAGTATCTTGTTTTTTGATATGTTTTCATCAGAGTATCTAAGGAAAGACATTACTTTCTCTTATGTATTTAATACGTTTATCTACAACCTACTTGGCATAAGAAGTACATATAACATTGTAAGGACACTTTTGACAGCTTGGGTGATTTATTGGTGCAGGCAGTTCTGGAGGTAACAGTTTTTTTTCTACACCCTCATTTTCGACAATTTTTGGTGGTCTAGTTAAATAATAAGTCAGATCATTTCTCAAAAGCATTATATCCCTCTTTTCCTTTTGGGTTGCTGTGATTTCTCTCAGAACTCCTTCCCTAAAATTGGTTATTGAAGCCAAATTTTCCTTCATTTCATACATATAAAAATTATTATGGTTTCTAATAAATTCACGGAGATGAAGAAAAATTAATGACATAAAAAATTGAATGTTGCATAACAAAAAAATTAGTTCTTCCTTAAACCAAAAATTGACGTGTTTGAGCGTTTTCCAAAATTATGATATTGAATTCTATGAATGAGGATGGGAAGTTTCCATTGGCACACCCTGTAACAAGTTTTCAGCTGCTTCTCAGGAATTTTTATTTTACATGGTACTTCTAAAGGGTAATATTCATAATTTCACAATTTATAATGGACAAGTTTTCTCTTGATGCATTTTCATAAAATTAGTCTAACACTGATTTGCAACCCAGAATGCCCATGTTGAATCATTACAATTTCCGAACTAGAGCAATTAGTGATTTTTAGGATGCAAACCATGGATCTAGTATGAGTATATTTGTTTTGTATTTTTTTAGATTTGTAGTTTTTTGTGAATCTGTATATCGCTACTTCGAAGTTGGATTTTTTGAATTGACTCGGCCGTTACCTGATGGAAATACTATTTCCACAAAATTCTTAAACACACAACATGTTTCGTTAACACAGTAGCTTCATCAGGTGATATACTGGTACAATGAACTAAACCAACGTTGGCTTGCTCAACTTTTTAGGATATATTATACCCTACTTTCCCCAATTGAAGGATTGGTTCCCTGTGGACAGGTTCGATAAACCTTCATTTTCGGAAATTAGGCACAATATCTACATTAAAATACGGTGAACCGGATTAACTTGAAAGGGTTGATAGCAAATAAATATCATTACCTACTAAGAAAACAAATTCAACAGTGGTGAACTATTGAGGTCTTATTGATCGTTAAGTAAAATGTCGAAAATTTTTGAGTTTGTTGATTTCTAATGATTATGATTTGAGTTTTATTCCTTTATTTTCTACGTGTACAATTTCGAAATTATCAACAAAACTATGGTTTTCTTCTAATATATGGTTGGCGTAGGTTAAATTTGTTTTCTTTTTCAATAAATTCATCTTATGTTCATGAATGCGCTGATTTAACGTACGACCTGTCTGACCGATATACAGGGTGTTTCAAAAAAACCTAACTTCCTTGCTAGGGTAGGTAGAACATTGCAAAATAAGTTGGGTTTGCTCAGTGAAAAAATGTCGTAACGCCATCCGTTTTCAAGATACAAGGTGTTGAAACAATATTTTTTTCACACATTTTTTACGATTATGTTGAAACTACTTGCAACATTGTGATGGAATTTCGTATGGATGTTTCTTAGAATCTGACACATCTCATGCATTTGTTTTTATAACTGACTATCATAGAGGGGGCTAGTTACACGGTTCGTACCGAGTAGTTTTGAACATAACTTTTTTGAGGTTAGATTTTTCAATCCAAATTTGATGTGAACTTGAACATCATTCAATTTCACACCAAAAAGGTACTCTTGGTAAAACACGATACTGTGTTCCGTTTTCGGAATATTTCGATTTGAAAATGATGAAATGGTAACTGTTGCTGGTATAAAGCTATGTATTAGAGTATTATGAAAAATTATCACCTATTAATTGAAAACCGATAACAACAAAACATCTCTGATGCAAAACTCATTGATTTAACAATGAATCACAAGAATAACATCGAAACAGATTTGACTAAGAACATGGATTACACAGTTTTGTTGTATCTTGAGCAGAAAGTCTATGCTACATAGGTAAATTCACGTCAAGAGCTGTGAGACATAATTGAACATCACTTAAATGACCTAACAGCTGATCCTCAACTGTTCAGAAGAATACTACATTCTTAAAAAAAGAATATAGAATCGTGTATTCCTCGAAACGTAGGACATTTTGAACACTTACTCTAACTGATTCAATATTTCATGTTCCTAGTCAAATATCTCTTAATTTTCTACTTATGATTCTTTGTTCCATCAATAACTTCAGCACGAGACTCATTTTATTGTTTTTGAACCTGAATAAATAGGTAATTGAACTCAATAAAATTCATTTTATATCAGCATCATTACTACTCCATTATTTTCAAATCGAAATATTCCGAAAACGGAACATAGTATCGAGTTTTACCAAGAGTACCTTTTTGGTGTAAAATTGAATGATGTTCAAGTTTATATCATATTTGGATTGAAAAATCTAACCTCAAAAAAGTTATGTTCAAAACTACTCGGTACGAACCGTGTAACTAGCGCCCTCTATGAGAGTCAGATATAAAAATAAATTCATGCGATGTGTCAGATTTCAAGTAACATCAATACAAAATTTCATTACAATGTTGCCAGTAGATGCCAGTAGTTTCGGAATGATCGTGAAAAATGTGTTAAAAAATAATTTTTTCAACACCTTGTATCATGAAAACGGATGCCGTTACGTCATTTTTTCACTGAGCAAACCCAACTTATTTTGCAATGTTCTACCCACCCTAGCAAAGGGGGTTAGGTTTTTTGAAACACCCTGCATACCTTAGGACAAGATCCACAGTAGAGTTTGTATACCCCTGATTTTTCGAATTTAGAAGTTCTGTCTTTATTATTTTTGATATTTTTGATGAACATATCATTTTGAATCATTAGAAATCAACAAACTCAAAAATTTTGACATTTTACTTAACGATCAATTAGACCTCAATAGTTCACCGTTGTTGAATTTGTTTTCTTAGTAGGTAATAATATTTATTTGCTATCAACCATTTCAAGTTAATCTAGTACACCATATTTAAATGTAGATATTGTGCCTAATTTCCGAAAATGCAGATTTATCCAACCTTTCCACAGGTAACTAATCCTTCTAGTTGGGAAAGTAGAATATATAAAAGTTAAGAAAGCAAACGTTGGTTTAGTTCATTGTACCAGTGTATCACCTGACGAAGCTACTGTGTTAGGGAAACATGCTGTGTGTTTAAGAATTTTGTGGAAATCTTATCGTTTGTTAAGTTTTTACATTTTCTAAGTTGGAATCCACCTCAGTAGTCGAAACTTGTAGTAAGTTAGGAAGAGCGGGAGCTACAGCTGATAGTGGAATTCGAACCACTTCTAGGGCGCCGAAATTAAGACTATTATTAATCACCTGAGATAAAGTAGAAGTCCAGAAGGTACGTTATATCCCATCTTTTTCATCATCATGATATACAACATGACCTGACCCTTGTGTTCCAGCGAGACTGTCGCTCTGCCAGTTTTCAGTTCCAGTGGCATGGAATGGTGATCAGTTTTGATGCTGACATCAACTTTACCTTTGACCCCAAGTTCAGGACACCAAATATTCTCTTCAATATCGTCGATCGATTGTATCATACCTTTCCAATCTTCCTTGTTTTTAATTCGGTTAGAATCTACATTGGCAGTTGTCAGGTAAAGGCTTATGAATTGATGTATTTTGGGGATGAAGTCTATCACTTCTGTTTCAACAGTTTGCAGTGATACTCCACATTCATATAGATCTTTCATCTGATACAAAATTAAAAATATTTATTTTTGGAATAAAAAAAAACTGTTACTGTCATAGATTTTTCCTGATAATGAGGTTTTTCAAGATGTTTTGAGAAAATTACTGTTTAAACTGAAGAAAATGTGATCTCCGAAATTTTCGCTACTGACACTAAAAACAATGACATCAACAAAATAGTAATAACATAAAACGTGAACGAAAATAGATTAGTGGCTTATAATAATTACACATAGCAGTGTTCTACTACAGACATATATTGCAGGCAATTACTCAATGATTTAAAACAATCAAAATGAGAACTTATTTTCATAATTTGGTATGGTGAAAAATCCAGAATATAATATTTTCAAGTCAAATTCGAAAAAAATAATTCAAGCTCTGTAAAATTGTATGCACGAAAACCAAAAGATTTTATTATTCATTTGAACAATTCAAATTTGAGATCAAATTTTGAAAATTTATTTATTTATTTATTCATTGAACGGATTCACCTTCACAATAGAAATTAGTTATATACAGGGTGTTACATAATTCAATACAAATATTTTAATGACATATTCCTGGGGTCAAAATAAGACTTTTTCTTCCTATAAACATGTGTCCTAAAATCCACCCCCTCCAAACTACAGACATCGCGTGTAATGGTAAGTTGAGGAAAGTGAATCGATTGTGACATGACGGTTATGACATACCACAATGTCAGTTTGGCATAAAAGATATTAATCATTAGTTACCAGAGACAAACATAATCATAGCTCACTAAGTTTTTTTAGTATAATAATTTGAAAATACACCCCTTTCATTTACGAGCGATTTTCTCTAAAACGGTTAGCTAATTCAAGAAAATACAAGAGACTGAAATGTATGATTTTTTAGTGGCCAATTCAACGATGATGTTTGAATTCAAATTTTTTTGGAGGAAATAGAAAATGTTTGCCATCAAATCTGTATGCAACCCTCATTCACCCCTTTCGATTCGAGTTACCTTATTTTTGAATCAAGAAATGAATAGATCGTCTAAAAATACAAGTGCCTGTGAATTTTCAAAATATTTGATGCATAATTGTAGCCACAATTCAAAATTTAAGATTTTTTTTGCGCATCTTGCGATGTCTGTAGCTTGGAGGGGGTGGATTTTAGGGCACATGTTTATAGGAAAAAAGTCTTATTTTGACCCCAGGAATATGTCATTAAAATATTTGTATTGAATTATGTAACACCCTGTATAATCAAGATAGCAAAAGGGCAATAACATCACAGCATGGACAAACGAAATTCAACAATAAAATAAATTCAACTTTTTGTAAACCATACAACTTCTTGTTGAAACTATTTCCTATTTACAACCATTAGGTTGAACAATTACATTATGCCCAAAGAAGAGAATAAAAAAAAAGGAAGGAGAAAAAAAGTATCAACTAAATTAATGGTGACGGATTAACCTAGGATCAATTTTACAAATTCTATTGTTAAATATGGCTGAAGACTGAACGAACGGGTCAATGTTGAATGCATTGAAATTACGCAAAATGCGTGAAAAAGGGCTGAAGAACCCATAGTTGGTTCAATGATTATTTATAAGGAATAATTCTGTGTTTCTAGTAAAATAAGAGGGAACAATCCTGTTGAGAAGTTCATAGCATTCAATTTCACCTGAGATAATCTTAAACATAGTATAACTACCTAGCCTAAAGCGACGGACAGATAAATTAATTAGGCTGAGGGTATCAAGAGTATCCGAATAGTTGAAATGATGGTTAAGTTAAGTTAAGTTCCCATTTTGTAGGATATGTGTTTGGCGAATCTAACTTGGGCTTGTTGGATTACTATGATTTCACATGCATAGTATTGTGACCAAATCATAAAGCCATAGTCCAATAAGGAACGTACAAGGGAGCAGTACAAAATATACAATGTGTTGCATGATTAGGCGATAGAAAACCTACCATTTTATTGGCGGATGCTGATACTTTCAGTAGATAACTCTTGAAGGTGAGACGTTCATCAAAGATGATTCCAAGTTTTTCAAGAAGGTATTGTTAATATTGTATATTATAAAGGGAACAATATGAGAACGGGAAAACGATATTGTAAAATATTTATCGGTATTTAGGTGGAGATTGTTATGGATGCACCACAGATAAAGGTTATGAAGGTCGTTTTGAAGAATTTGACTGTCTAGGATATCTCTAATGATGCGAAGTCATCAGTAAAAACTAAAAAGCATGCACTTTTGAATACATCGGAAATAGCATTTATAAAAAGATTGAATAGTGAGGGATAATTAGATTTAATACAGGGTTGTTTTTGAAGACACAACTTATTGATCTTCTACCCAGATTTGAGAAAAACTTGTAATTCTTTGTAATTCTGAATAAACTCAAAAACTATTTCTACATGTATTTTCACATAGAATTAAAAATTGAGGAATGAATAAGTTACATGGGAATCATATATACCAGGTGACACTGATTCATGGTATACCCCCTTTGTCTCCTTTGTTTTCCTAGCTATATTTATGAAATTTGGAACATCAAATATGCTCACTAGAGGGCACTATCTCACACTTTAGGATTTTCTTCACCATCCAGTTTTCCGTAATCGGTTGGAGATTATTATAACGAATTCAACAATATCAGGTTTGATAAGGTTGTTTCAAAGAATTAAGAAGTTATTGGCGTTTGAAGATAATGTTGTATTTGTTATTTTCTATCCGATTATGGAAAAAAATACAGGGTGTTCCATTTGAATATCAAAAGTTGATGTCATTTCCAAGAAAACCGAAAGATGAAAAAAATTTGCTGAAATATGAGAAAGTACCCTCTACTGAGCATATTCAATAGCTAGAAAATCCAAAGGAGAGAAGGGGGTATACAATATGAGTCTGTGTCACCTGGTATTTGATGATAAATTTATAATCAACAAACAAAGAAATTCTGATTCTGCAAAATCATATAAGTGTACGTCCAAATGTGTCAATACTATTTATACCAAAAGATATTGGACTTAACCCAGCGTCGCCCAGGTGGGGTCTTAGATAGCCAGACAAATTTTAAATCACTGGCTTTTCAATTTGAATGCATGCATATTTCTTTGGTTGCCTACAGCTTCCCAAAACACTTCATTCTGTCATATTCTGGTGGGAATTCAATTTTTAATTAGTTACCAGTGTAACAAAGATATATATCTTATTCTAAGAGATACTTGTAAATTCCCATAAGAAAATGGATCATTTTTTGTTTTTTCTTATACTACATGTTACTTTTCTAGCTGATAACTTCAACATTTTAATAATAAGTTTTGCATGAAATCTTTCAGAATTGAGTGTTGTATATTTTTTTAACAGTTTTCAAAGATATCATGTTTTTTACCAGTGAAAATTTTGCCATCTATATGTCTTTCATGATATCTCATGAATTAAACTTATTATAAAAAGTTTCTGTTTATAACCCTGAAGTGAATACATCTAAAAACTCATTTCAGATACAAATCTGGAAATATTACAATTGTTTTTTTTTCTTCAGTTTCTAATTATGGGGTACATCAGACCCCATCTGGGTGAGAATGTACCGATTTTCCACCTGGGTGACGCCGGGATAAAAGGGGCTATAATCTTATAACTTTAGTTGTCAATGTCCAACTCACTGACAAAAACAATATATGTACTTATTTCAGATTTCTTCTCCATATCATAGACTTACAGGCTACTAGGAATCCTCAATTTATTTTTGCTTATGTACCTACTCAAAAAAAATTCTAGAGTTAATAAGTCAAATAAGTGTGTACCTGGAGATAAAACATATTTTTTCACAAGCTAAAATTGCAAAGTCCTAATATCAATAATTCCTTTTAAGTTCTTTGATTGGAAAAATTCGATAGTCTGATGCAAACTGATCTTGTACTTACAATTTTTCTTTCTTTGATGAGATTCTTGACAATGGCTACCATTTGTTTATCTGAGCTAACTTTATTCCTAAGTACAAACTGCAATAAACTGTGTACTAAAGTACCAACAAGCATTTGTTTATTTGATGGCTCAAAACCTCTGAACCTTTCTGTGAGCACAGATCTTCGTTTACACCATAAAGAATCTTAAAATGTACAATAAAGCTTCATAATACAACATTTTATCACTACTTATCTAATACTCACTCACTACTGATGTTGTAGAAATCAACAGATCTGGCTCATAGACAAGTAAACCAACATCATTATCAACAATCCACTCTTGTCCAATTTGTTTAGCAGTTACATGTACTATGTCTCCAATACCAAGCATTGTATGTACCCTGAATTCACATGAAAAAAATTTTACAATTTCCATTACCCCCAGTTCTGTATTTTTACCAGAATCCTTGTAAGTTACAAATGGCCTTTTCTCCAGATTTTGTAGATTTTAAAGTTAGTACACTTTTTGTGGGAAAGGGATTGATACTGACTATTTCACAATGATGAGATTTGGTCAAATCAAGATTGTACTCTTCCAAATCCTAAAAACCCAAAGTTATAAAAGTAAACTGATGGGTGGCAACAATTTTTTTTATATGAGTTTGCAAATAACCAATTAGTGAAACTATCAAATATTCAGCATTTGAATAAATACTGTTGAATAATAGGTATCTAATAATTTTAAAATTCCCAAATACAATAACTAAATTGCTACAAAACATCTCTTAGGAATTAACAGTTTTCAAAATATTACTAACTTTCAAGATATCTTCCTCCCAATTATCATCAAAATCTAAGTATATATCAGTCAAATCAATTTTCCCTTGTGTTTCATGGCTTTTTTCAGGACTTTTATTTTTTGGTGTGATTTCAACACTTTCTTTGGGCACTATTTTAACACAATCTGCAAAATCAAGTTTAGTTCTTATTTTGTCAGTTGGCAAGGTGAATTCATTCTCAATATTTTTCTTTGGAGTTGATTCATTTTGCTGTTTTGCTTTTAGAGAGCTGAAAAGATAAAAAAGACATACATATATATATTTGTAATGCATAACTTATTTATATTTCTTACCTATTTGATGCTACTGGTGAAACAAACTTCAATATTGAACTTTGTATTTTATCTGTACTCTTGACAAAAATAACATCATCATCCTCTGTTGGATTGATATTACTCTTGCTTGGAGTTATTTTGATGAAATCAGCAATAACTTGAACATTGAACTTATTCAAATTATCAGGAGATTTTTCGAATAACTTCTTAGGAGTTCTCTTCACCTTGTTTGGTGTTTTCCTGGGGGATTTTGGCACTGATTCCTTTTTAGGTGTTCTGTTCAACTTATATGGTGGGGATTTTACATCTTCCATCACAGAAGATGTGCTTGGGAATATCAATGGGTTAGTATTCTTTGAACCATTAGAACTAGGACTTTGTTCATCATTATTAAACAACAATTTTTTTGATGTTGGTGTTCTAATTCTATCTTGGATTCTTTCTTGTTCCTTTTCAGGTGTATGGTATATTCTCAAAGCCTCAGGTGACAGTAAGTGTTCAGGGCTTTTGATAAAAATCATCTGCTTGGATGGGGTAACATTTCCTGGTTGGTGTTTTTCAGTAATAGATTGGTCCTTTGGAGAAAGAGGTTTTGGTTTTGTGGAGGCATTACTTTTCTTATGTGGTGGATTATCGCCATTCATCTCATCAACTTTACGTTTCTTGGTTTCTGTTTTCTTACTGTTGTTTTTTGTAGAGTTATTTTCTTTATCACCCACTCTTCTGTTCTCTCTGTTTGGTCTACTACTGTGGTTTGGTGAATCAACAAAGTCATCATCACTATCTTGAAGAACAACCGTATTGTTCTTTGACCTTTGTAAATCTGAGGAAAGCCTTGATTTTGTAATTTTGGAGAAAAAGCTGGAAATTTTAGAGTTTCCTGTTACTTGCTAGAACATGAGAATGTAATATTCAAAATTAGAAATAAGTGAAAAATATTATTACTCACCTGAACTACTTTCGACTGGGTGGTTTTCTTCATTGTTATACCAATATTGAATCATGATTCCATAACAAATGATTCTTCAAATCATCACTCTATTTACCAGTTTACCACCCAAAAATTTACCCGCCTTTATTTGACACTTCATTCTTGCGGACAGAGACTCGAGAGGCATTGTTCTTCTTCTTCCTCCTTGATTTCTACGGTCTTCTTCTTTTTCTGTTGTAAGCTTTGCGCATAATTTGCGTTTAGCAGGTTGCTTCTCACAATCTTCTCACTGACTGATCTCAACTACAAGACTATTCATTCAGCTACAGAGAGGCAAGTTTACCAACTTACGTGAAGGGGGCCGCCAAAGCTGGCTGCCAGAATTTCGACTTTCTCGATTGACCAGTGGCACGCGTTTCCACCCTTTTGGGTAAAATTTGGGAATCGAATATCGAAAGTCCTCGGTTAAGCTCCTCGAAATTCATAATAACAAAGACAAAATCAATCAGCAGAAATATCTGACCCTACTCGAAAAAAAAACAATAAGTATTGCACTGCGCAGTTGCTTTATTTGGGTCTAGAAATTTCAAAAATATTGTTTTTCTCCGATTGGCAGCAAATATTAATTTTGCTGACACATATCAATCAGCCAAGTATTACTTTTCCTGCCTAGGCAGCAAAGTGGGTACTTTGCTGATTGATATGTATCAGCAAAATTAATATTTGCTGCCAATCGTTTATAATTTCCCTCATATTTCATCCGAGACATCCGGCAACAAATTCAACTCAATATTTTTTGCCACCTCCCTCATTTCTGGAGGTGTAAGTACTTAATTCCAGGTCACTACGCTCGGCTATGCATGAATTCAGCCTCGGCAGTCAATTTACTACTTTGCTGCCTAGTTAAACAAATAACTATTTCGATACGTTATTCGCAAATAGCTGCTTAGCTGCTTTCGGGTCAGGAGGAATTTGAATTTAATACTCATTAAAACTTACCTTGGACATCCCCATATTCATATTCTATTGATCTGCCTGACAGATGTTGAGCACCTAAGTGAATTGTACACTGAACGATTAAAGAGTTCTTGATGTAAGTACATATACCTAATCTCAAATGATAAGATATCTGCCATAGTTTACATTGCTTCTGGAATATCCTGAAAAAAAAACTTGGATTAGTATTATGCTTCTCTGATTGCGCAATATATTATTCAACATAGTTTACATCTTTGAAAGAAAAAACATGTGTCTACTTCACAGAGCACAGCTTCATTGAAATAACGACTGTTGCTTTCCTAAAGTGCTCAAATAATTTGGAAAAGAACTGGTATAAAACCACTGTTTATACCTAACTCTTAAAGGCGACACCCTCCTTTGTAGAGAGGCATTACGAACGCCAAAGTTGATACAATCCCCTCGTAAGGGTATCTGACGACGTGATTCCATACACTCACAATGTCGACTAATATTTCGACTGTTTGAATGAATGATCGAAAAAAGTCGTTTTTTATGAAGAAATGTTCTAAGAAGATTGAAAATACGATCTGTATTCGAAGTTAATGTTCATGAAAACTTATCTTGGACATCTTTATGTTCCATTAATCTGACAGATATTGAGCTCCTAAGTGAATTATCCTGAACAATCAGAGTTCTTGTAAGTACTTAATCTCAAATAATAAGATATCTGCCATAGTTTACATTGCTTCTGGAATATCCTGAAATAAAACTTGGGTTATTATTATGCTTCTCTGATTTTGCGCAATATACTATTCATTATAATTTACATCTATTAAAGAAAAAATGGGTCTATCCTTCAAAGAGAACAGCTTCATTGAAACAACGACTGTAGATTTCCTAAAGTGCACGAATAATTTGTAAAAGAATTGGTATAAAACCACTGTTCATACCTAACTCTTAAAGGCGGCACCCTCCTTTGTAGAGAGGCATTACGATCGTCAAAGTTTATACACTGCCCTCGTGAGGGTACCGGACGTGTTTCCATACACTCACAATGTTAAAAATTCTGGACTGCTCGATTGAATGGTCGATAAAAGTAGATTTTTATAAAGACATCTTCGAAAATAAAAGAGTTCTAGCAGAACCCCTTCAATATTTCATAATCGCAATATAGTGCTATAACTTTTCACTAATTCATTACTTCATCACCATATTCGCGAATTTATTACCCCTCATTCAAGAGTAAATAACAACGGCTTTGTTAGCTGCTTATGTCAACCTAGCAGAACCATAGCTAAAAATGTATTTTTTTGACAACTTCAAAGATACCATAATTTATTACTATTTTATCACTAACTCATATAACTATAATCACGAATTTTTTACCCATCATTCGATGCAAAAAAAGGCCGATTTGTTTATCTTGATCTCAAGCTAGCAGAACCAAAACTTGAATCATATGTTTTTTGAAATTTTCTGGTCCTCAATAAGATAGTAATTTTTTACCTCGTTTACTAATTCATCACCACATTCTCAAATCCATAACCTTCCATTTGACAAAAAAAACAACGGCCCTGCTAGCTTTATATCAACCTAAAATTGAATTGTTTTTTGAAAAGTTGAAATATACCATAATGTATACTCGACTATTATTACCATTTAATTATCACATTAACGATGTGCTACTTTCCATTCGAAGAAGGAAATCGTCGATTCGTCTATTTCTATCTCAGCCTAGCAGAACCGAAATTCGAATGACATGTTCATGGAAATTCCATTCAATTCATGATTTATTACTATTCTATTACTTATTATCAGAATAATAATTCTGCAACTTTCCATTAGGAGAAGGAATTCGCCGATTCGTCTATTTTTATCTCAACCAAGCAATGACCGATAATGAATGGTTTCGATACAAAAGGATCCTAAAATTGTAAAATCTCGATTTTGAATACACTTTAATTCTGTGATCATTCCCGTGAGGCCCGCATGTGTGATAGATCGATGGAATCAGCTTTTCAGGGAGAATCTAGAAATGCAATGAAAAAAAAAGTCATAGTTGTTGCTACTTTCTAGTAGAAGTGGCAATGCCGCTTCGTTTAAAAAATATTATAGTCGTGTAGATCATGTCAATTTATACATACCAACAAATTTTCAGATTCATCTGTAGCTTGGTTTGCCAGAAACGTTTAATCAACACCAGTTGTGAAAATCCTTGTATTTTGCGATATGCACTAGATTCTTGCTTGAAACTGATACGAGCACTTTGAGTAGACCGTACGCGATGACATCTATCACAAGACTGAGACGATTCACCACCACCTCGTCACGAATGACTAATTAGTTTCGTCACCTTTCTATCCTATCAATTCCCGAACAATTATTTATCTATGACTAATAATAATAATTATGATGATATTCGAAGTATACGGGGAGATGGGATGAACATGGAATACTACTGATATACAGGGTCATTTGAGGCGCCACCTCAATGATTACGTAAGGGGTGCTTCCATGAAAAGAGTGACAGAATTTAATTTTTCAGAACTGAAAATTTTGTCAGGAAAATATGACGCACTGTATTCAAACTATTTTTTGTATAATATTTAGTGAATTGGACGCCATGATTTCGAATCCGAAGTGATTTTCAACCTTCGGTATACCGGGTGACACTGACTCATGGTATACCCCCCTTTCCTTCTTTGTTTTTCTAGCTATATTTCCTCGTTTATTTCTCAAATTTGGAACATCGAATATGCTCACTAGAGGGCACTTTCTCTCATTTTAGGATTTTCCATTGATCTTCCGGTTATCCTGGAAATTACATCAACTTTCGATGCTCGAATAGAATACAATGTATTTTATTCCATAATCGGTTCAACAATACCGGGTTCGAAATATTTCAAACGATTCGAAGATATTCGCGTTCGAAGTTTCCATAAGCTCAATGAGTGTGACAGAGAAAGAAGTTTTGATATTGCGACGAAATAACCCAATCAAACCCGGTTTTATTGAATTCGTTATAATAATCCCTAACCCACTATGGGATAAAATAGATGGTGTTTCATTTAAAAAAGTTGATGTTATTTCCAAGAAATCCGGAAGATGAAATGAAAAATTCCTAAAATGATGTTTCGATGTTTCAAATTTCAGGAATATTGCTATAAAACCGAAGGAGAAACGGGGGGGGGGTATACCATGAGTCTGTATCACCCGGTATGCCTTGCTCCTGCAAATTTCAAATTCCTTACTCTACAATAACGAAAGATATAAGGGTGCTTTCATTAGAATAAGTGAGACACACTGTATATAAAGCCAACGTGTAATATATTTTTAATATCCAGCTTTCCATAAAGGTTTAAAATTTTTCATAATATATGGGGTGTTCCTTGGGGTGTTTTCCATTTGAAAAATTTGTCGCGGACGTCATTATTCCTTATAAATGTGGGAAGTTGAAAACAATAATTGACCTGTCTCAGAAGATTCCTCAGGAATGGATAATTTGGCTTGAAATGAATTAATTCAGTACTTCACGAAACCACTGTATAATATGTACTTAATCGCTCTTGTGAGAAGACTAATTCTCACTATGGATTGCTAGATTAATTTTTTGTTCCTTGGAGTAGGTAAAGAATTGTCATTTATTATATAAGGAAAAAAGTGAAAAAAGATTTTAGCTTCAGGTTGTGAGCTAAAATCTAATATTTTTCCTGTGTATAATACACTATTTTTTTCTATGACAGAAGAAAAGACGAATCAATATTGAGAAGATATTACATTATTTTGAAATCTGAAAATTATCGACGTGAAATTTTAAGTTTTTAACAGTAGGGACACCTGCGTTGTAGCCATCTTTATCATTCTTTTGAAGTAATCAAATATCTGAAGTCACTTCTGTCAGTCTAATTCTGTGTTTTGATTTCAAAAAATTGCGAATTTAGTGGTTGTTAAGTAATATACGTAACAGCGAGTCGAATGGAAGATACTAGGACTTGCAGTTCTTTCTCGGAGACGGTATTATTGACTCATTTTTCTACTATAGCACAACAAAAGCCATCAACAGTGTATATAGGTATATGTGATATATATCC